AACCCTAACCCTAACCCTAACCCTAACCCTAACCCTAACCCTAACCCTAACCCTAACCCTAACCCTAACCCTAAACCTCGGCTTCAAGTTTGGGGAACCAGGCGAGTGTGTTGAAGTGGTTTATGAAGAGAGACCTCTGACGGATGTAGTCCTCGTCCTGATCGAGAGAGACGGCCATGAAAGCTTTCCACTCGGGGAGCCCATTCCAGCCCTGCCTCTTGAGATCGAGGACCTTGGCGTCAGCAAGGGGGGGGAACAGTTTCTCGCGAGTGGCGGCCCAAGCGGTGGAATCGGACGTCCAGTAGTATGCATCGAAATAAGTACCGACCTGGGGGTCGCGGAAGGTATCAAGGGAGACGTAGGCCCTCTGTTCAACGGTCATGCGACAACGCTGAGCATTGCGCTGCTTATCGATACCGACCCTCTGGATGACTTGGGAGAGAATTGCGATAAAACGCAATTCGGCACTGGTGTTGGGAGAAGGGGTGCCATATTGGGCTTGGAGAGGGAGGTCGTCGCGGTGGTCGAAGGGGGTAGACTGCGCGCCGAGGCGGATATCGTCCTGCCAAGTGACGGGGCGTGAACGCAAGGCGACGCTCTGCTTGAGATTCCTCCTTAGAACAGCGCCTGCTGCAGCGGTTGTGGCAAGAGACTGGGTAAGCTTGAGAGCTCGAAGGAGATCTAAACGCTTCATAGTGAAGAGCCGGGCAGCGTCGTCCATGTTGATGGTTAGGCCATCGACGTTCGTGAAGCGAAGTACGTTGGATTGTCGAGAGGGAAACTCGATGCGTGGAAGAAACAGAACGGGGCCGGTGAAGAGTGGAACACGTGCGTTGCGAGGACGATCAGTCCAGAGCCCGTGAGACTCGATGGATGCGCGGATGACCGTCTGAGGAAAGACCAAGGCGCAGACGGCGCGTTCGTGTTGAAAATTGAAAGGGCGGCGGCTGACGCAGTTGAGGGCAAACGCGACTGCGGCGAGGAGAACAAGAGCGGGGATCTCGGCGCGGACGCTGGCGACGGGAGCGTTGGCAAAGCGAATGAGGAGGTGGTAAGCGTGGAGGCGCAAGACTCTGAACTGCCTGCGACGACGGTCAGGTACACGAGATGGGATTAGGCAGTGGAAACGAACCACAGGCGTGTTGTGCGCAGGGCCATGGTGTTTGAATAGAGGGCGGTGGCGACGTCCAGTGATCGATCGTCATCGAAGACACCGCTAACGCAACTGAGGGGTACTCTGGCTTCGACGCGGGTCTTGATGAGGCTGTCGGGGCTGGACTGGGCCTCGGCCAAAGTGGTGATGACGCGAGTGATTGTCTCAATGGCGGAGTCGGGGCCGCTGGCGTGGATGAGAGTTGCGGGTTTGACGACGGGAACGGTCTCAAACTTGCTGGAGTTGTAGAGCAAGGCTTTGCAAGTTGGGTAAACCTGGACGTAAGTGACTCGGTGAGTGCCGACGGGTGCGGCCCAGGCGTAGCGGGCACCGGCGACGGGTTGAAGCCCGGCCCACGGGTCGACGTAGACGCGCGCGCGGCTGAGGTGATGAGGCTGCAAATCGAAGAGCTCGGCTATCAACTCTGGGAGTTGCTGTCGCTCTGGCATGAAAGAATGTTGAGTTCCTTCGGTGGTAAGGATCTCGACAGCGACGTCGACGAGGACGTGTGCATTTTCGGTTAGAACGTCGTCGAGCAGATCGTCGACAGTGGAAGAGAGATCCGGAGTTGGGATTTGGGTGGGAAAATACAGTTGGCGGGTGGCGTCTTTCATGCCCCTCAACTGGAGAACGAAGAAGCTGTTTTTTGCCCAAGGGAAATCGCGCAGACGTTGCGCGAGCTCGAGGCCGAACGGATAAGCGTTGTAATCGGCGACGGTGAGGCGAAGCTCGGAAGGCTTTGTATTTGCGCCCTGGAAGCCTCGGGCTCGGTGCAGCTCGCCGGTGCGGGTGACGTTCATGTTGACTGCAGTGGCGTTTTGGTGGAGTATGAGGCTTTGACGGAGAGCCTGGTAGTACTCATCGAGAACCGTTTCGAGGGAGGGTGAGGGTTGATTCTGGTCGAGGCTTTCGGCCGTGGGCTCGACATATTCTGGAAGGGCGAGATAGAGGAAGTGGCGGCCGGAGGGCCCGCAGACGCTGAGTTGCAAGGTGTTCATACCTTCTAGATCGGTGTTGCCATGCTATTCAATGTCATGAGTTGAAGTGAATCAATGAACAAGCACGAACATCGAATGGGATGGGGGCATGGACGCTGGTGTAAGGTCGTAGGGGCCCAAGGACAGTTTTCATGTCGATCTGGCCGTTCCAAGGAAAATGCTTGCTGATGACGATGATCGAGTCAACATCGCGCATGATGCGAATGTCGTCCTGTGAGATGAAGGAGCCGGTGACTTCGACGTCGATGCGCTGAGGATCCCCACGCCAGTCGACTTCGTGGCCGGAGACCATGAACTGGATGAAAGCTTGAGCGCGTTCGCGGTTGACCGTCTTGAATGGCGCACGAGGGTCGCCTTCTGGGAAAACGCCGCGCAGTAGCTGATGACCTTTGGTCAGATAGTCGCCGAAACGATAGATACGGGTGGCAGGTTCTGGACTGGCAGTTCGACTCGCGTCGGACATTGGTTGGGATGGGTGGGGTGGGAGGTGAGGGTCAGGGACGGATCGAGGCCTTTTGTAGTGCCACGGGTACCACGTCGTGACCGTTCCGTTCCGCACGTCGTGATCCACCACGTTGTCCCCTATATGTCGAGGCACCGATAACGTCGTGATCGTTCCGACCGCTGGGTACGGAGTATCTAATGCGTCAACGGCTTGTCCCTGACGACCGGGAGCAGTAAAGTCGCCAATCACACCAAGATGTCACCAGGGGTAAATGGATAACCGTTTGAGGTTGCCCCGGGTAAGGGTTTCAAGGCGGAGTTCATGGCTGCCCCGCTACGCCATGCGGTGGCAGGTGATCGGAACGATCACGACGATATGGCCACACCGGACGCAGTCAATAAATTTAAAAAATCAATTGCGCATCCTCGATTTTAAGTTATCTAATGCGACATGAAAAAAAAAATCGGGCCAGTAAGAAACTATTGTCTGAGACGCTGCATCGCGTTCTTCTTTGCCCGCACTTGAGGTTTGAACATGAGGGGTGCCTCGTCGATGGGTTCGACGGACGGCTCGCGCTCTGGAAGAGCGCGCTTTCTTTTACGAGCTGGGCGCGTTTGGACCTGCTGGGAAGAGGATGGTTCACTGTCGGTCTGGGTGGGCTGCGATGACCCGGCTTGAGAGCTCGGAGGCCATTCCGAGTGATCGCGCGAGGTTGAGTCGTGGTCTGACCGGAAATCGTCGACAGACCCACTCTGAGAGCTCGGAGGCCATTCGTGGTCATCGTACAAGACAGAGTCCTGATCTGACCGAAAGTCTTCGAAGGAGCCGCTCTGGGAAGCATCTGGCGGCTCCTGGTCTTCAAGTGGCGCAATACGCTTTTCTGCGGGGACGGGGTGGCCAGATGAGTGGTCAACATCCGTCATCTCGATGTCGTTGGACAACGGGCGTGCTGGCGAATCGACGGGGATATGTCTGGGTTGGGAGTTGGATTCGGAGTCGGTCACATGCTGGGCCTTGCCCGGTTGCTCCGCCGGAGGTTCCGATTCAGTTTGGGTTATCTGCGCAGGCAAGTCCTTGTCGCTGGTATTGGATGGCGCAGAGGCGTCTGGGCCTGTTGGTGTTCCTTCTGGAGGGTCAGATAAGCTGTCTTGTTGCTGATGCTGTGGGGTTTCCGTGTGGGGTGCTTCAGAGCCCAGCTGCTGTGTCAAGTGAGTTATTGGCGAGGCTGGAGGTAGGTGGGGTGGGAGTGGGTCTGGGTGGCCATGCGGAGAAGGAATGGGAGCGGTGGCGGGTGGATGGGTTGGTGGGGCTTGTTCTGGGTAAGATCGATGGCAAAAGAGGCATATGGCTCACACCTATTGATGCTTCCGCAGGCAGCAATGACCCTAGGCCCTTCCGACCCTTGGACTGTGTCTGGTTTTTGGCCGGTTGAGTGGCCTTCTTTGCCAGGGGTAGAGAATCAGCCTGTTTGGTTTCGGTCTCGGTTTCGGCGACAGTGCGGCCGTCATTGGCGTCCTCAGCATGTAGCTGCTCGACGACAGCTGGTAATCGGGGTTAGAATCAATGACAGCCTCTACGGTGGTGTCATCAGATCACCTCTGGCTTTTTCGGGCGTTGAGAACGTGACTGCAAGGTCTGCCTTGCCGAGCGCGGTCATCAGCAAGTAAACGTCAACCGTGTAGGGGGCAAAAAGCATGATACCAAAGCAGTGACGCTGCTGGCCAGTCCGAAACGCTCTGGCGTGGAACTGGGCAGCGTCGACACCGCTCCATGGGGTGTCCTGATGGGGTTGAGCGCGGGGGGTGAGGATGTGGGTGTTCACGACGTACATAAGTGATTGTGACATTTGCCTCTGTGAGGTTCAGTCCAGCAACGCCGACACTGCTCACGAATAGAACCGGGATGGAGAGGTCTGTTTTGAACTGGGATATTACTTGCTCGCGGCGTGCAAGCGATTGGTTCCCTTGAAGATAGAGCGATTTGACGCCGAGCGAGGCGAAGTAGGACTGGAATGCCTGCTGGTTAGAGGCCAGCATAGTGTAAACGAGGATCTTGCACTGTGCGTTTTTGCCGTCGGGGAAACGCGATGGTTGGTAGATGGGAGTGGTGACGTCGGGGAGGTTAAGTTCCTCTGGGGCAAGGACGTGACCCGTGGTGCCATGGTATGATGCGGGAACCAGTGCCTCGGGTCCAAGGGAGAGCAGCTGGATGACGAGTTCTGCGAGGGAGCTGAGCTTTGAAAACACAAGTCCGGCAGCGGACTGGATGGAAAGATCGTCATTGCGTGCTGCAACGGGTAGAGCAATGGCCTGTCGGGCTTGTAGATAGAAGGCCTGCGAGCCAAAAGTGGGTCAGGGTGTAGGGGAGCCAAGAGGGAGACTGACCCCTAGTGCCTCGAACCCCCGACGCTCAAGTTTTCCGTCCCGGTCTGCTTCCAGCATAGCAACGTCTTCGATTTCTGTCGGTGTCAAGGGCGTCTGCAGACAAAAGACAGTGTGAAGAGGCATCGTGCTGGCGATAGCGACACCGTTGAAGTCCAAGGATCGGCCCGTTCTGCGAATAATCTGTGCCTTCAACAGTTTCCTGACTGTTTGGATGACGGCAGCGTCCTGTCGTTGGACGTCTTGGAGGAGAGGCGTGGGCTTATTCTGACTGATGTGGTGTAGTTGGGAGAAACGGGCGATCTGGGCATTTTCTTCGTCCCTGACAAGGCGCTTTGCTTGATGTGCGTTGCGCACGGCGACAAGGATCATAGATTTTTGACTGGGCTCGATAGCCCGCATGATGAGTCCGAGATTAACAACGTCCTGTAGGAGAGTCGGAACGGTTCCGACTCTGGGAGGACCAGGCATACCTGCAGCCTTTCCACACATGGGGTGCCGGTGCACAAAATGCCGACTTGGGTCAACCCGATGATCGCGTCGATGGCGCGGTTGAGGAAACCTTCGTTCCGCGCGTTGTGGGCTTCATCGACCACGACGGTCGAAAAGGACCACCGATAGAGGCTATTCTTTTTCCATAAGCCGGTCGGGTAAGGTTTGCATCGGCCGTCAGGAGCAAGCCGAATCGACTCCGCCGCCATGCGAGTGAGGACCTGAGTAGGGTTAAAGCGCCGTGTGTAACGGACAGGGTTGACGCACGTTATGCGAGGTGAGAACGATTTGATCGTGCAGCGGCACTGGGCTTTCATGGATCATTTTAATCTCTGCCGTCCAGTCTTCTTGGACGCTGCCGATGACGTAGGTTGAGAGGGTACCGTCCAGGAACAGGTCGATTTCGTCTCGCCATTGGGCTACAAGAGTGGGAGGGCACAGGACCAGGTGGCGCTGGGCGTAGCGCGGTACTAGGATTGGAGATGATCAGCCTCCAGCGTCGGAATCGTCCCGATTTAGCGCTCACGTCCGGTGGAGCCAAGGTGGGCGTGGACCAGAATGGTCAGCATACAGGTGAGCGTCTTACCTAGACCCATGTCGTCGGCGAGCAGGACGCAGCTGGGAACAGAGGTAGGCTCATTGCCGTTAGATTTCGTGCGGGTGAGTATCGCCAGGAGTCCCTGCAGCTGATGCCACTGAGGAACCATCGGGACGCTTCCGACGCGCGTAGTGAGGATGGTGCGAAGGCCACGGAACTGGTCTCCCACGCCGAAGGAGCGCAGCGAGAGCATAGTCTCCTCGCGGTTGCAATGTTTCCATTGCTCGACGCCCATATCGCCAGTACCATCGTCCCAAGCCGAGATTCCTAATGCCGTCTCACCGTCAAGGACGGTTGCGATCGTTGACTGGGGAAGGGGAACGGTGGGATCGTCAAGGGTGACCAGCATGGCAAGGATTTCGTTTTTCACGACGTCCATGTCAATTTCATCGGTTTCGGAGTCGGCTTCGTCGTTACCGTCCTGCTCGGCTAGTGTCGACTCAATATGATCGAAATCTGGTCGAGGTTAGCGTTAAGTTGCGGACTGCGGGACAGGTTACAAGGTTGGACGCGTAGAGCAGCATCAGTGGCGGCGTCGTGGACCATGCGGGCGGCAACGCTGGAGAGGCGAGTGGCTACTTGAGCACACAGACGAATGAGTTGGGTGAAGATCTTCGTGTCGGGATCGGCGATGTCTGGGCTGCTCCAGAGCGCGGGTAGTTCTGCCATCAGGACAGGGAGAGGATGGGACAAGCGAACGGCACTCTTGAGCATGACTAGGCAAGTGTATGCGGCCGTGGTGGACTTGGTGGCAGCTAGGTGGAGTTCGATGGCGTTGATTTGACGAGGAATGGAATCACGAGCACGACTGAGGCGGCCCTTGTACGCCTCGAGGTAGCGGGAGAGCCACCAACCCCAGAAGAGGTCGAGACAACGGGGGGGGAAGTCGGTCTTGAGAACGAAGACCGACTGAAAGACTGCCAGTTTTACCGCAGCATAATCGTTGACGCGGGGTGCCGCGCCGAGGCGGCGGGCAAGTGTGGCGACATTGTAGCCAAGTGTGGACAATGCGTTGAGGAGCTGTGGCACGTTCAGCGAATTGTGAAACGACGTGAGGCGCCCACCGACGCTTTGGGTCAACGGCTCCTCAGGGGCGCTTTGGAATTGAACGGCGACGCGTTGGAAACCAGGACAGGAGGTGAGAATTGTGGTGTAAAATGTGGCTGGGGGGCTCTCGTATATTGCTTCTAATTTGGACTGCATTTCCGGCCAGTACGGCTCCCACTCAGTGTGCTGCGGTGGACACTGCGATTCCCAGATTGGTGGGAACCCGGGCGGGAGTAAGTGGCTCATGTCCGTGTTGACGTCGACGCGCCTTGTTCTTTTGATGGTTTCCAAGCCGTAACAGAGATGAATCAGATGCGCGAGCGGCGTTTCCATATTGGGCAGGTGGTGGTCGGAGTTAGAGTTGTGATTGTGACGGAACGCGTCGGGGGGTCACAAATCATCTTAGGTGATCCGATCATTGCCACTGGGCGAGTCACCGTGGGCAGACACACGATATCATCGTAACCGTTCCGATGCGTGGCTCGTGGCCTGCTAGTGGTCTTTTTCTCTGGACTCTTCGAGAGGTTCCAGATGTCCGTGCCGCTGGCGATGTTCTAGGCCGACAGGTGCTAACGTTGGAAGCACCAGTCGACCTGGCACATCGTGAAGCTCCCGATGCCGTGTCTCGGAGCAAAGTGAGCAGTGAAGGGCCTCGCATGGGCCGGCAGTCGCATTAACACGTGGGTCTACATAATATACAGCGTTGAAACATTACAAGAAAAATCTACAGGGTGCCCGGCGCTCATTCAACATCCAGCAACATGCCCGCGAGATCCTCCACATCGGGGTCGGTCGTGGAAGGCGCGGGGTCATTCGGGGGTGCCAGGATGGCCCAGCTGGTCGACGAATAGACGGGTGCGGTCAGAACCGTCGGGGTATCTTCTCCGTCGACGACCATCTCGTTGCTCTTCGGGGGCGCCCGAGACGCTCGTTTGCCGTCGAAGGAGACGTTGATCTTGTGTCGCCCCAGGAACGTGCGGGCGGCTTCCAGGTCTTGCGTCAGCGCCTGCCACACTGGTCCGTTGGGAGCGGTCTCCTCGTTGTGCTCGTCTTGCTGCTGACTTTCCAAGGCCAGGTGCAGTTTCTCCCAAGCTGGAGTGACATGAGCGCGCGGACCTCGTGCTGGAATAACGCTTACCCGCGGTGCGCTCGGGGGTGGTGAAGTCGTGCAAGAGCGAAGACTTGCGCAGGGAGATGGCGGCCAGAACGAAGTCGATGGTGTGCTCGGCGACCAACTGGAAAAAAAAGCACTTCTTCTCCTGACCTTGCCGATAGACCCGGCCGAGCGTCTGCGCCTGCGAGATCGCGCTCCAGTCCACGTCCTGGTTACAATTCAGTCAGTGCGTTGAATTAGGAGGCTAGGTGGGGGGGACTCACGGCAGCGATGATGACGTTCGCCATCTGAAGCTCCAGTCCTACGCTGGCGACGTTGTAGGTCGCCAGGAGAACGTGATAGTCCCCATCCCGAAAACGGTCAATCACGGCTTGTCTGGCTTTGACCGTCTTGGTGACCGAGCCGTTGATAGCCAGGACTCGGAACCCGACGTGCTCGAGGAAAGCCTGCACGTACTCCATGTACATGGCGAAATACGTGAAGATGATCACCTTTTCGGTGACCGGTTTCGAGCGCTGCGCCTGACTCAGAGTGCCGAGGAATTGGGCGGCTTGAGGGTGATCGGCGGGTGGGAATCCTAATTCCTGCATGCGTACAACGTCGCGCTTGAGAGCCAGAGTGCCCACGACGGACTGGGCACCGGAATCCAGGATTCGTTCCAGGAGCAACGCAATGGCCGTGACCTTAGAGAAGCGGGCGTCGTCCTTGTTCCAGAACGCGTTGACACCGGACGTCTCCACCACTCTCCCCACCGCGGCCTCGGCAAACGAAGTCACTTTCCGAGCTTCGAGGTAAAACGACTGGGCTGGCGTTCAGCAGACGTTGTCGTGACTGTTCCGATACACGTTACCTGCTTCCCTTCCCCGGCCCCTTTCAGCGCTACGGCGGCGGTCCCTTGTTGAATGAGCACTTTGTCGCCCCACTCGATCTCGTCAGCATGCGAGGGAGTGACAATGGTGAGCTGCTCCAGCTCTGGCAGTCCGACACCCACGGTTTTCTTGATTGTGCGCAGGGATGCCATGTCTCGCACGAGGACGTGATTGCCCAACAGGTTTCGCTGAAGGGACATGACGTGCTTGAGGGCCGCCATGCTCGCGCCCATGTCCGCGTTGTGCTTCAGGCCTTCGACGCCTGCGGTCAACGCTGACTGTTGCAATTCAAGTCGGCTCTGTTGGTTTTTGAGGCGTTCGCGGGCTTGGAGACGCGCCGACCCGGCCAAAAGGCGCTCGCATCGATCCAGGATGTGTTGGGGCCCCGTGCTCGGGCGGAGAAGCCGTAGTTGATTGAAGACGTCCTGCGTACAATGAGCGTCGTTGCAGCCGATGTGGAGCTGCCTTACCCTGGGGCTTTCGATGACGGGGGTTCCCGTCATCAGCAGCTTGATGAACGCCACCAGCAGCAGCGCCTGACAGGCACTAAAGACCCTACCGGTCTTGCGGGCAGAGTGCGATTCGTCCAAGACAACCGTTGTCCAGAACCGCGAGTACACTGTCGAGCGCAGGGGCTCCCCGTTCTGGAACGGCAGCCGTGAAGGGCGGGAAATGAGATCATGCATTCCGCGAAGAGTCTGTAGGAAAAATGGGTGAAATCGTCGGGAGCGTTCCGATGAGGGCATACCGTGTAGCTAATCACCACAACGGTCGTGTTCCCCTCCTTGGGGATCTTGGCCATTGCGTCTTTCCACATCCGCTGGGCCGTGGGCATCGCGATCACGCGCACCTGCTCGTTAAAGTGCGACTGGCAACTAGTAACCCACTGCTGTACCAAGCTGTTCGGTACGACGACCAGGGACGGCCCGATGGGCACAGATTGTTTGCCGTTGATGCTTAGATCTGTAGCGAGTCAGATGGATGCTCACCCATTCCGATTACCGCACTTACGACCCGCGCGGAGACGCTTGGGCCAGGCCGAGAGTGTCGTCACGTCCGACGTGTCTGCATCCTGGACGGTCTCGGTCATCATTGCGGCTTGCTGCATGACGGCAATGAACCCGATCGCAGAGAGCGTCTTGCCCAAGCCCATGGAGTCGCACAGGAGGAAACCGGGGATCTCGCTCCACTTGTCCTCCCGGGGACGGTCGAGGACGGACGATCTCAGTTTGCGACCACCCGTATCTGCGTCAGGCGCGGTGGTACTCGAACTCTGCGCCTCCGTCGCCGCCTCCGTTTTCTCTGGCGCCGGTTGTGCCAAGACCCGGCTGAATCCGGCCCACATGACCGCTTGATGCCAGTGAGGCACGAGGACTGTGGTTATCCCAGGGATTTCGACATCACCCGTGCCAAGCTGATATTGGCGGGGGTCGCGCGCCCAGTGCTTTCGGAGAAAATAAGGCCAGCCGCCACAGTACGCGATCAACTGGTCCACGTTCCAGTCCTGGAACTTCGCGTGGGCGCCGTTGTCAAATCCCGCCATCAGCGCGGCGGTGGCGTCCAGTTCACCAGAGAACAAAGTGGTCGCTGCGGCGTTGCTATGGTCGACGGCGACTTCTTGGGAGGCGTCCCAGATCGAACCAGCAATCTCGTCAAACACAGCGGGGTCCAGGTTCCTGACCATTTCGGGGTCAACGCCCCAGGCGGTCGCGCCGGCCCTTCCGCGCAGATCTGTCGATTGTCAGTAAACGTCGTGAGGGTTCCGATGCGCGGGGCTAGGGAGACAACAAAAAGGTCTTCACAGTAGCGGTCCCCACATGTCGGAAGAGTTCCGATGCGCGGGACCAGGCCCTGCAAAAGGAGAGGAAAAGGCCAAAAAGAAAAAAGGTCTTCCACCCGGTAGTGTGTGGATGTCGGAGTGGTTCCGATGTACGGCGTCTGGTCACTCACATGCAAGGCGGGCCATCTCTTCGGCCGGTTCCAATGATTCGTGACCCTTGAACTCAGCCACTACGCTCAAGTATCCCAGCGTACGCCCCGCCACCTCCGTCTTCCAACCCCAAGCCGCTTTCGCGTTCTCATCGGACACCTTCTTTGTCTTGACTTCGGGCAGGAAACCCGCCAGGTGTTGGGCCAGTTGCGCCTTCGTGGTGACGTCGATCTCGCGAAGTTTGAATCGATCCCTGTCTTCAACGGGGACCATTCCCATTCCTCTCAGGAACGCCACTGCGGCCTTTGCCGCACTGCTCAACTTCGCGGCCGCGATGTCCGCCCCCACCAAGACTTCACCCGCCGGCTTCTTCGGAAAGAACGCGAAGAAGTCATTCCAGCGTTCGTGCGCCTTCTTCAATGCTCGACTCGCTCGGGCCTTGAGCGCGTCGGTTTGACGGTCGAAGAGCATTGAAAACAAAAGCTCGGCGTTCCCCGACATCCAGCTCGAGCTGATCGACGAGCGGTACAGGTCAATCAGGATGTCCTGCTTGACCCGGCCGTAGTGGTGTTGTCCAGGAGGAACCCTGGCGTTGGCCGCGTCTTGCATCTGAAACGCATCCGACATGAATAGTTCGAGAGGATCACCTACTTCCGATTTCTTCACCAGTTCCGTAAACTGCCAAGGTGTCAACAGGGGTTGCGTAGCATAGTCCATCACTCACCCGTGCCGAATGCGTCAAGTCCCAGTTTTCCTTCGACGCCTTGATCATCAGGCGTTCGAACTCCGGTGCTTGCGACCAGTCGAACCCTCGGGCGGTCTTGTGAACCCAAGTGATGATGTCCCGATCCACACCGATCAGCTCCGCACGCATGTTCGCGTGTTCCTCCGGCGTGAACTCCGAGCCCGCAGGAGGGTTCGTATCCCAAAGTGGATACACCCCCTTCTCCCTGAGCTCCAGGACAAATGCCGGCGTCGCCATCGATCCGTCCTCCTCTTCGTAGTCGTCAAAAAGGGTGCTGCACCGGAGCAGCAGTTGTCCCAGAGCCCCGTACATCGCAACGACGATCCCCATCTGTTTCTTGACCGTCGCAGGCGGGTCGAGCTTGGTCTTCTTGTTCGGCTCGGCTAACACGACTTCTGCTTTTCCTATCTCTTGTCAGTCGACGCTGTCCGATTCAACGTTCACTCACTTTTCCCGGCTCTTGCAGCCGGCGCTGGCGTGGGGGCCGACGGAGTCGATGGGATGCTGGAAGACGGCAGTAGCTGCTGCGGCGTCGGCTGCGGTGTAGTTGGCCGCGCGTCCATTGGAGAGCCCTGTTCCTCGTCCGGTACCGGTTGAGCGGGCACTTGCGCTGGGGCTGCAGGAGCGGCAGCCGCCTTCTTTTTCGCTGCCAGGAATCAGTGGGGTCTCTACAGTCCGAAGCAGCTTACGCCTGGGTTTCGGTCGCATCGCCTTGGCGATCGGCGCTCGGCTAGACCCAGCCTCGTCCTGTCGCGCTGGGGCGGGTGGCCGCGGGTTTGCCGTGTCATCCCCTGAGCTCATTTGTCAGAGGCGCGATGTGCGAGGTACGTGCTTCTGACCCGATGTCGCAGTGAGATCTCCAAGTATCGGATCATCTGCGGCGGATGGCCCCGCCGCCTGCGTTTTGCCCTTGCCTTTACTCTTCTTCGCAGCGTCACTCACTGCTGCCGGGACTCCGGTCGAAGGCCCAGCCTGGGCCTTGCCCTTGCCCTTGCCTCGCGCTTTGGGTGTAGGAGTGGGCGGTGGCTCAGACTCGCTTTCTTCCGCGGGGGCCTTTTGGGCCGCCTTGGCCGCGGCGCGATCTTCCTTGCGTTTCTTTTTTTCAGTGGACGACAACTTTTTCGTCATGGGGGAACGTCGGGACACTTCCGATACTGGGGTGCGAGTGGTTAATTGTGGCTGTGCTCCGACAAATGGGGAAGGTGGTGGTCAAGAGCAAGAGCAGTTGGTCACGTCACAACCCATCAGCCCCGGCATGAGTCACTGATGATCGCACGTGATATCCCGCTTTCAGTCTTCCCCGTCTGGCGTAATGGAATTGTCGGGATTGGGCTTAGTTGGTTTCAATTCCACCGCGTTTTCATGGTGCCGCAATTTCACCCCGGTCGTCCGTGTGGGGTTGTAAACGACTTGGCCTTACTGGGCGGCCGGGCAAAGGGTCGCCAGACTGTCTGCTGCTGTTCATCGGGACCTTTCCGATGCGTGGGTCTGGGTGCCTTCCCCATCTGGTGCTGACTTGCCGCGCAACACCCCAGGTCAGGGGTCGCCAGATCGCCTGTTGTTCATCGGGACCTTTCCGATGCGTGGGTCTGGGTGCCTTCCAGTCTTGTGCTGACCTGCATTACTCCCTAGTCAGGGGTCGCCAGATCGCCTGCTGTCGTTCATCGGGACTTTTCCGATGCGTGGGTCCGGGTAGTTACTTATCTCATCCAGACTTTACCATCTGGCTTTCTTGCTCTCCGTTTCACGCTGCTTGGAGGGGGCAGTGGACTCCCTGACGTTCATGGCCCTGTTCCATATCATCACCCCGCAGCAGGAACTGCCTTGTCAAAACAGATTTCAGTCTGTTTCAAAACCCAGGGTGACTCCATTGGGACTCTCCCGATGCGTAGCCTCTGTCGCCCTAGAGGCATCCTCGCAGGCACGTGTGTCGGAACACTTCCGATGCGGGGCATTCACTCCCATCTTGTCACATGTCCTGCCGATCAATTGTTGTAACTTGTTTCCAGGTCAACTTCCTGTCTCTGATCACTCACGGTCAGTCACCGCTCGACGATCCAGGCCTGAAGCTGGTCCAAGCGTAACCCTAAACGGCCAGGGAGGCCTCGGGAAACCCTGCCCTGGGGTTAGGACTGGCCTAGGGAATCGACCCTAGAGCACTTCTAATAACCCTAGTTACAGTATATCGGGTGGGCGGTGTTGGGGATGTCGTTCTTGAGCTCTGCACTTCTTCCGCGCGCGTGTTTCGTGTCATGGTGGTTCTTAGGAGTTCAGGTGAGCTGCATGTAACGTCTTCCCACCGTGCGATGATACTTAACCGTGCTGGTCCTTACCTTCACCATTAAGGCCGGATAGCGTGAGTTAGGCGTATTCTACGCAGATGCGGCTGCAGGGCCCGTGATTCACTGCTTCGAGTGATGATGTTGACGGGTCGGATGAAGGGATTATGAGCACTGGTCGTCGAGATCCAGATGTTGACCTCGGGGACAAGTGTCCCATTAAGGAAGTCGTTCCCCATTGGCGCTAGCAGCTCAGAGAGAACGATGCAATGGTGAGGAGTCGGTATTAGCGGCTACAGATGAGGCGCATGTACCTAGCGAGGCAATACCGTCAGCTCCGGGACCGCGACGACGACTTACATGTTCCGCTATAGCTTGGCTAGCCCAGACACTAACCCATTCCGTTTTTGACCGCTGCCGTCCGATCCCACCTTCCTTCGACCTTTATGCTGCCGTTTTCCTATTTCGTGTGTTCTAGTGCCCGTCTTGCATTAGTTCCGTGAGGCGCAAGATGAGGTCTGTGAGGTGCAAGATGAGGATGTGGGAGGGTGTGACGCTATCGTCACACCCTCCGTGGGCTGTCCTATTGCGTGGAATCGGGCCTCTGGGCGCACTTTGCGGCAAATTTGAGTCGCCAGAAGTGTTCTGCATGTGCCGACCTTCAATTTGAGTGGCGAGGATTTTCCATTGTCCAGGAGTTGACTCTGGGATCCACGATTCTCGCCGGGTTCTCCCATCCTTCGTTGACAGCTCCCATCATTTCTCGTCTCCTCACCTTGCTCTGGCTTCCCATCCCTCCACAACGCAGGGACAGCTGTTTCATGTGGACAGATGCATATTACATGTGTTTTAGTACATAATTTCTCAAATGAGCAAATAGATTCGAGGAGGTTTGCCTCTGGGATCCATCGTCTAATCAGCATCAGTGATTCTGATGATGCTGGGGGAAGATGTCGATATTCCACCACAACGGCAGGTTGAATAAATATGAAACCTGGCATGTGGAATCTTCCATATGTCCATGTGAGAATGCGCGAAAAAAATCGTGAGTGTTGAGTCAACTGCGGTTGGGATCCATCCTCTGATCATCGCGCCAGTTTTCCAGGGTGCCAAAAAAGACGCCTTCCTGGTGGGGCTGCTGCGCAGCCCCACCCCCTCAGACCCATGGATCCATGTGGATCCCGGGTCCAGGGGACCTTAAGCTACATGTGGATATAATTTTCGTAAAATTTCGTGGAGAAATGAGGTCAGGATCCACGTTTGCAACGGGATCGCATCTGGGAGGGGAAATATACATAGAGTCCGGACTGACCTGTCAGGTAGCCACACCCGGCCCGTGACCATCACGGCACGTGATCTCATCACGGGGCATCACGAGGTATGTTATCACATCAGTACGATCACTGATCCAGTCATCAGATCTCCTCTGTTGGCATCAGTGCTTGCCAACGTTTGCCAGTCTGTCTATCAGATCTGATGAACAGGTGATGCGGCAGTGTTGATTCGTTTTGTTTGCTTTGCGTTCGGTCCAGGCCCTAGTGGCCCTTTGGTCAGGCTTGGACTGATGCGGCATCAATTCATCGCACAGCTACTGATCCCTAGTAATCTTATCTTGATTAGATATGATAGGCAATCTTATTGTCTCGCGTCGTCGATCAAGGTCTATTGTCTCTATTGTCCTATTGTTCTTATTGTTCTAGGACTGCACTATTGTTGTGCGCATGTAATCTGAATGTGTAAGCAGGACCTGAAGAGCTTATAAGCGAAACAGGTGAGCCGGTGAGTCTTCACCAGCCTGTTGTCCTGCAGCAGCTTCCCTCTTCTTGTGTGTTTCAGCTACTAAACCACCCTAACCCTAACCCTAGCGCACCTTCCACGTCTTGGTTAGACTCTCCGCATCGTCGACGTTGCTGAAAGGGACGAAGGACTTGTGGCCCTAGTTTGCAGAAGAAAGGACATCACAATTGAATGTCGCCAGGCCAAGAAGAACCAGAGGGGAAAGGAAGGCGAGAGGTAGGAGGCGGACGGTTTCGTGGACGTTGCTGGAGTCGTTGGGGGCGAGTGGAGAGCGGCAAAGTGAGTCAGTGTTGACAAGACCCGGGGTCTAGACCCAAGGTCCAGGGTCTTGGGTCTTCCAACACTGTGTAGACCCGACCAAGACCTCGGGTCTAGTGAGGTCTAGCTAGTGTGTACATGTTTGGATCATTTCTTAATTAGGACAAACTTGATGATATTCAAACACTAACTAGTCTCCACATTTCAGAGAAAACCTTTCCACAATAATGTTTTTCTCATGCTCTGCACATAGTGCAGCCTGCTTGAGCTTACACAAGCTCCCCAAGGCAGCGCGCCTCGCATTTCATCTTGTTTGTCTTGAACATGGGGCCTTTTTCAAAGGTGGCCCAGGACCAGCCCTCAACTCTACGATGAGTCCCAGGTGTCCCTAGCAACATGAGTGGTTTTGACTTGCACATTGCTGGGCATGAGCAAAAATGATTCTTCCATGACGAAGCTGCCCAATTGGGACAAGACCCCAGTAGACCTTGCCAAAAATTGTCAACGGGTAGACCCGACCAAGACCCGACCCAAGACCCCGGGGTCTAGGTCTAGTACAAGACCCGACCCCATCAACACTGGCCACAATCAGCGTGCGACGTGTCCAACGGGCAAGACACGGACCTTGAATTTGAGATTGAGGATGGCAGAGGACATTGTGGGGTGTACGTCGTCATCGTGAGCGTCAAAAGAAAGCGTCAATAGTCGTGATGGAGCTGCGCAGCATGGTGATGCTACAGTCGGCGCTGAGTGTACACGAGGCAGGCCCGCGTCCGGTTCCGAGATGCACGATGAACGCCCCTCGCGGTGCAATATTTCGAGATGGCGGACAGCAGAAGCTAGAGCGGATAGTGAGAGAGCTCGAAGCAAGGGAGGCAAGCTGTTACCCGTGACGTGTCCTCCGAATCATCCCCTGGGAAGCACAATCACCAGACGAAAAGTACATGCGTGATGATCAGAGTAGCGCCAAGGCTGAAGGAGAAAGTAAAGGGATCAGAGAGGTTACTGACTACAACGGGATGTCCTCCGTCTCGCCCAGATCATCATCGACGTCACCCTCACTCCTCACACCAGCAGATATTGTCTCTTTCTCCACGACCGGCGGCGGCGGAACCTCAATACTCTCTGGCTCAACGGCCGCATCCGCGGCATCGGAATCCCCAGGGCCAGGACTTGTCGGAGACGTAGGCGGAAATTTAAACTGCATGTTCATCGTCCCGGTCTTGCTTCCCCGCTTCTCCATCAAGGCGAGCCGTTTTGCCTCCAGCTCAGCCACATCAGATTCTTCATCCTCCGAATGTGCTTCTTCAACAGTGACGACCGGCACGGTTGGTGGTGGGATATTGCTAACCGACTGCCCTACAAAGGTTGCAGGCTGGCCAATGGGCGAGACGGTCGGTGGCATTGACTGTCGCACAGCAGCTGCGCTGGCGGGTGAGCGTTGGGTGGGAGATGCAGCAGACATGGACTGTGGGCGCCGAGAGGGTAGCGCGTTAGGCGGTGTTGCTCCCAGTCCGAACAGCGCGATAGGAACTAATCTACAGCCAGTGAGCTTCGCGAACAAGAAAAAGCGCAAACATACGTACCGACGCTCAGACTGGCACGCGAAGATCCAATGCGGCTGGACGATGGGTATACTCAGCTGCACAGCGCGCTGATACTCAACCTCAGGCACGCCGGTTGGTGTATGCGTATTGGGTGTGGTGCACACGAAGTGCGTCGTGTCAATCTCAATCTTCTCGCTCCACCGTGCGCCGATGCGCTCCAGGGCTTCTTTCGCCTGCTCGACGAGCCCTGCGTCCTCGACGGTCCCGAAACATACACGCACACCGGAGGTGTCGGTCATGGTGTGCGTGTGCACGCGAAGCAACTCCGAGGGGAACGTCCCCGCGGTCGTGCGCAGGATGAGCTGGAACGTGTACTCGGTGTCGAGCTCGAGTCCCGAGATCTTGCTGGAGGTGTTGGTTGCCGGGTTAGGGATCGGTGCGAGGCGCTGCCCGTTGCGGTAGAGGTCCAACGATCGCAATTTGGCCGTGGCCAGCTCGATGGGGGGCCACTCAAGGGTCACGGACGTCTGTGTCACATTGCGCAGCTGGGGGGAAAGGAGGTTATGAGCATGCATTCATTTCTGCAAGAACAGACTGCGCACCTGGAGTTTCGGTGGCTCAGGCGTACGCACTCCAAACTCGTCGAGTATCTCATCCTGCAGCGCCCAAAACGCGGCGTCTCTCCTCTTCTCTTCGGCGTGGTTCTGTAGGACGGAGATGTTGACGATGGATCCAGTGGTCGCACCGGGAGGAAGTAGGACGGAGGGGAACTCGATCAGGTGGGCGCGTTCGCCGAGAAGGATCTGGAGAGCGGCATTGTAAACGGTGGAAGCGCGTGGACCATTAGTCGTACAGCCATGCCTGCATCTATGCACGAGTATTCAGCTCGTTTCTTCGTGATTCGACAACAGCCTGCGTACCTAATTTCCCCACGGTGAACGTAAAGTGGTCTTTCTCCATCGTGGTCGGCGCGTAGGAAGATGTGCCCAACCCTAACCTTTCGTGATGTTGTAACTGATGTGATGTGTACTGGGCATCGGACTCCATCCGCATCCTCAAAACACACCCCATCTAATTCACTGCTCTCCACCACCACGAGACATCCCTCGAGGTGTCCTGGGTGTCCTGAGGGAGTTTCCCAATCGTTTTTAGCTTGCAGAGAGGTGATTGTCGATGCGCGGTCTGGGCGATGCTGTGAAACCATCATGTGTAGTGCGAAAAGTCACCGCGCGTCCGATCCCAAGGCCCACGACAACTGCATGAGTAAGAGATGTAGAAACGACGGACAGTGAGGGGCTAGAAAGCGAAAGAACTTACCTGCGAACTGCTCTCCCATCCGAGTTCTCAGAGCGCTCCACCCCTTCTTCATCCATGTCTTCTGCCTTCCGATCTCCCCAATACATTTTCACGTTGCGTTTTTGAGCGCTGGGCGTTGCTATTCGAGCTGTGCAATGGGTACAAGGCAGATGGAAGAGCGGACCGCTGCGCCGTTTGCGATACAACAAAAACCGCGAGGTGTTGCGTGAGGTGACACAGAGCGTCCGATTTCGGGGTACAAGAGACTCATCCTAGTGAGTGTCAAAGGAGGGTAATGGGCGGACTGCCCCATGCTGCGTGGTGCGGTTGAGCGAGCTCGTAGTGCCGTGTGTGATCCCGAGATCGGCCCCGAAACTCTACCCCCTTCCTGCACATCCTGGTGACGTCCGAATGAATACAGTGCGCTTCGGTGTGTCGTGAGATGTGAGCGGGTTGGCGCATGATGTCGAAATGACAATCCGTCGCGTCTGATTTCAGCGGTACACAGGGCAGGATGTCGAGTTTGCAGACAGTGGAAGGTCGGGGGGAGAAAAGAACTCACCTATAGACCTCCTCATCCGCATTATTCCAGCGCTCCACCCCCCTCCATCCGAATTCCGAGCCCCTCTCTGTTCCCACGGAACCACTATCATAGAATGGAATGGAGCTCTGCCGGTCACTCGTAGCTTGCGGTGAGATGTCGTCAGTTGCAGGGTGCGTGCGATGACATGGATGGCAGGACCTAAGGTTGCACGTTCGAGTTCGGGCGCATGAAAAGTGCATGCTCGAGACGTTCTGATCAGTATGCGGTGCAGCATGTAGTGTGAGCGGACGGTGAGAGGCAGGCTTTAGGAAAAGCACTGGTGGACCTAGCCCCCATCCACCCATCCGACTCTGCTGCACCACCTCCCTCGGATCGATTTCCCCGGTTTCGTTCGCTGATCCGGTCGCCGAAAGTCGATTGTTGAGCTGACTTGTTGAGGGTGTGCGATCGGAATTGAGAGGAGAGCGCAAAAAGCTGCGCGGCCTGGTGATGCCGCAAAAGACGTTGAGTGTACGCAGGCGAGCCCGCGTCCGGTTCTGAAATCTCATCCCGCACCGCGCGCGGCAGGCACGACCAGTCGAGTCCCCTCTAGTCGTTACGACACACCGTGTGACCGAGCCAGCCTCCCTCAGCGCGCGCACGACGTTGTAGAAGACATGTGTTTTGGATGTGCCTTTGGGGAGCGGCGCCTTCAGGCTCCCCTCACAAAAGGAGATCCTCGGGGACACCTCAAGAAGCAAGGCCAGGCGGGTGAAGTCGTCGCGAAAGCCAGAAGCAGTGTCTTGGACGACTAGCCCATGGAAGATCCGGGGCTGGCAGACAGTGGCTCAGAAAGACCGGGCAGACGAAGCAAGTGCGTTCAGAGACGGGCCCGAGTCATCGACGTATGCGAGGATGAGCTCGATCAATTCTAGCGGCAGCGCAGCCTCCATGAACAAGACGGGAGAGCGCAAGTAAATACGGATGAGTTCTGGGAATTTACATACGGTCCCGGGCCGGATTTGATGCGCAGCCTCTCTTCGCCCGCGACTTCGAGTTTACCGAATCCACGTCTAGGGACCCCTTCATCGACTTCATGCGCGGGAGATCTCCTGCTGACGACCGCAAGGAGATGGACGACGACGACTGGGAGGCCAGCTCATAGCGCGAGTTCAGTTCGCTTTGGTACACAAGCATGGCGTCCGATGCACCGCTCGCGACGGACCACCCCGAGTCCCGCACACTGGCCGTGTCGTTGAAGGCGATGAATTTGGGCAGTGTAGGCAGCTGTGGTGGTGGGTTGACGCGGTCGTGGAGGAAGCTGTCTGGGTCGCGTTGGTATGTTGCAGCACCTCAAATATGGCTTGGAACTCACTTTTGATAGTCCCACAGCGCCTTTTTCGCGGCCTCGCTTTGTGTGCCCCCTTCGCTGATGTCTAGGATTTCTGCCGATTCGTCGATCAGCCCCGCCTTGCATGAAAGCAGCACCCGCTGGTATTCAGACGCGTGGATCTCCAATTCTCCAGGTTTCGAGGGGATGAATGTGGACGGCCAGAGGGTTGGCCCCGGCGAATTGGCCAACGCGTCGTCAGAGTCGTGCTCGTCAGCCACGAGGGCCACGGTCAAATGCATGAGTGTGACCTCCTTCACGCCACTGAAGGCGCACACTGACTTCTCGACCACGAACTCGCTCGGTCGGAGGTGGATTCCGAACTTGAGGTTAATCGTGCTCTCGAAGAGGTCCTCAAACTTTCGTGCGCCGGCGGTCTGGTTATCCCAAGCGCCTTCCACGGGGACATGCGAATGGTTTCTGTATCAGAGCTCTCCTCTTCCATGCTGTAGGGTTTGCTGTCCCCGTCGTTGCCTTGTCTTCCCATCACATTCCCCAGCTCGTGCGCGAGAACGCCGTGGAGGGAATGTTTGTGTCTAGATGCAGTGGCCGGGTGGTGAGGATCGCTGGATGGCCATACGGGAAGAGGATATGGTCGTCGATGAAAATGAGTCATCCCTCAACACTCAGCACCCGCCAGACTTGGTCCAGCACGAGCTCTCATTGCTCGTGCGGGATGCAAAGGGCTAGAATCGCCATTCGTACGAGCTGGAACGTCCCGTCGGGGAAGGGGAGGGCTTGCTCAATACTGCCGGACGGCCGTGGTTAATGTTGGATCAAAGTGTGCGTACTGCACACACAAGTTCCCTTTTACGAATCTCATGGCGTTTGTCAGCCTCTGCCTTGGCGCTAGAGGCCACAACGCTCTTGTCGTATCAACCCATGTCAAAATCCACAATTTGCGTTCCGGCAGAGCGTCAAGCGGCAGCAGCGTGAAGCATCCAATCGCTCACACCGCATCCTAGATCGAGGACTTGCTGTGGTGGTTGGTCCCGGTAGTTGTGGAACGAGGGAGTGTTGTTGGCATTGATTCTTCGTAGGAGTTGACACGTTCGGCGGTCCCTATGATGAGAAGCGAGTCTCATTGATTTCCGTCCACGACCGATAACTCACATCGCTATCAGGGCAACATCGTAGGCATCCAGCGGATACGAGCCGACCATGGACACGATGTGCGAGGGAGGAAACATGGATTTGGCGACAGTGTCGGTGGGGGGATGTCGGCTCAACGGACGGGGACGTCGGTTCGATGGCGAAGACCGGTTCCGGCGATGGACTGCGGACGATTACAGAGACCGATAGCGGAGGGTCCACCCGTCTTCTCCCGGCCCAGCGCAATTCTAAACACCCCAGCCTTCGCGTCCGTCTCTTCTTTCTTCTTTCTACTTCGAAGAGGTGCCGAAGATTTGGGATGAGCGCGGGTCCGACCGCCCGGAAACACAAAAGGCTCCGGCATGCTCTGGCTGTTTTTACTCGACCGCGAGCTGCGGATGCTGGCGCTCCCGCTCCCGGTGGAGCCAGAGGCAGGTGCACTGTGGATGCTGGCTGTGGGAGACACCGGTGGTGACATGGACGGGGCGGAGATAACGGCGTGCTTGGGACGACGGCCTTTGCCTGCTGCCGATTCAAGAATTTGAATTCAGGGATGGAGGACGACGCGCGCAAGCGCGACTGCCCAGAGGGATACACAAAAACGATAGACTGCGGCGTGCTTGGTGACACGGTAGGCCCGGGATCCGACTTTCCGGAGTGGAACGACCCTACTGAGGAAAACGACTGCATAGCTGGATTTGATCGGCGCGGCTGGTGAACTTGTCGCAAGTTTGAACGCACGCCGCCGTCTTTCGTAACTCAGTGGGATCTGGTGGAAGGAACGTGGATTCCAAGGTTACACTCTTGGGTGTCACACTTAGTCCGTCGTGCTGTTGCCTGCACCTTGTACTTCCTTTACAACGCGCTGGCGCTATCTAATGACCTTGGCGGGTTGCATCTGATCACTCAGAGGTTTCTGTAGTGCGATTGAGGTGGTGGTGGAGCGCTGTGAGGATGCGAATGGAGGACGGGCGGTCGATGAATTGTTTTTCACCGCACACCTCCCACCGTCCACCAACTCTACATCCTGAGCTGCGCACTCATTGGAAGCACGATAGGGTTAGCTCATCATGCGTCCCGACTCGAACAGACTGCATGTATGGCGTGTTGACCATTTGCGCCGATTTGTTTCCCACGCACCACGAGACGACAAGCCCCAAAACTCAAAGACGATGATGACGATGACGACGGAAGCTAGGCCTCCATTGGCTTGGAGAACGGCCGGAGCGGCTGGCCTAACGAGAATAATCTCAACATCGACTGCCAGTAGATCCCAGCGAAAACGTTCGACGCGATAGACCCACTGGGCCGATGGGTTTTCTCGTGGCCGTCTTGGAGTAGCTTACCCAAAGACGTGCGTGTCGTCGAAATCTTCTTCGTCGAGTTTGTGCTGACGCAGATTTGCCCCGGAGTGCAATGAGGAAGAAGAATAAATTCCGAAAAATCAATCAAAAAACCCGAATTGCCAACTCCCATGGAATTAAGTAGACGCCCCCTAGTAAGACACGCTACACCGGTTTCTCCAGCTAGAATCTTACTAATACACGCTCGACGCACCTACTCAGCTTTCAGCATTTGCGAAAGAGAACAGTCAGATCCGGGGTTCCGACGCTGCTTGTCTATCGTAAAGTACTCGGACTGTAGGCATGTCGAGGTCCATAAATGACACGAGCTGTTGACCCAAAATACTCAGCACCTCGTCAAAGGGTTAGTCATAGCCGATAGCCCCAAGTCCATGCTCCACCCCAATGCATCAGCCTCTAAGCATCCAGACGCACTGTCCCTAAGCCGTTCCTCGGCTGCAGCGAGAAACTGATCAAGATGCGCGATTGTCAATTTGAAACACACGTTAGGCACTCGAGCACGTTGTGAGAAGATTCCACGGCGATTTCACGTTTTTCAATCGTAATTCGGTCGTGGTTTGAGCTCGGCGTCCCCCAATTGCTAAAGGACCAAGCTTGAATGATTATCTAAAGGGATTCAAAGTGCGCTAACTGCCTTCGCCTCACCCTCCACTGGGGACCAACCTTCCTTACAATGTATATCAAGGGTGCTGATGCGGCACAAATGCCTGCTAATAGTATGTAAGCCCATCCGACGCCCATCGAATTGATGATGGGTTCAATCGCGGCAACCATTGCAGCACTGAGAGAACATCGAATCAGGTTGTTCTGTAGAATATATACTGAGCAAGGGCAAGAGGACGGAAGTGAGATCATACACAAGCAGTCACTGAAGATCCTTGCCCGGGAGAAGGTCGATGATGAGCGTCTGAGTACCATTCGCAATCGCCATGAAAAAGAACCCAACTAAATCCCGTCAACAATTTCAAAGGGCCGGACACGTAACGATGAGGAAAACAAACCTCCAAAAGCGAAAATCAGCGGTGCCGCTATGTGAACTTTGCGTTCGATCACCCAGCCATAACATGCGCAAGATACGATGACACCGCACAACAGCCAGACTTCACATACCGGCTTGCGTAAGTGGCTTGCCCCGCATGTCGGAGTTTGAATTTGGCTGATCGGGCTTGGCTTGCATGGCTTGGGCGTGGGCTTGGCTTGTGCATCACTTTCGCTGACGGAAATATCATGCTCGTCCTTCGGCTCGCTTCCGCCGCTGCAGCTCACTTCGCATCCTCGCGCTCAATCAAAGTCAACTTTACTGGTGCCAGTGCTCAACGGCTGTCTCCTCAATCTCTTACACCACCCACAATGCTATCAATGACGTCGGGACTGACACGCTAGACCTCCCTTTGTTATCGCGCATGGGCTGTAGTACGTAGTTATCGTCTAAACCCTCTTTTTTCTTCCCGGAGTCACTCGAGCCTTCTTTTGAGGCGGCGCTGGTGTCTTGCTGGCCGGCGCAGCAGCCCTCTTGCGCTGCTGCCGCTTTGGTCGTTTCTGAGCGGGGAGATCCTCCTCTTGTTCTTCCTCGGCGCGTGAGCGTTTGCGGACGCTGGCCACAGTCACAATGTCTTTGCGCAGCTTCGGTCGCTCCGGGGCTGCGGGTTCTTGTTCTTCCTCGGCGCGTGAGCGTTTGCGGACGCTGGCCACAGTCACAATGTCTTTGCGCAGCTTCGGTCGCTCCGGGGCTGCGGGTTCTTGTTCTTCCTCGGCGCGTGAGCGTTTGCGGACGCTAGCCACAGTCGCAACCTTCTTGCGCGGCTTCGGCTTCGGTCGCTCCGGGGGTGCGGGCTCTTGTTCCTCCTCGCTACGCAGGCGCTCTGGAATCACTGCCACGACTGCATCTAGCGGCGCGGCACCACTAACCCGGCGATAGACCGGCCAAGTATGGTGCTCATCATATGTGCAATGATTTGCACGGAATTTTCTTCGCGCCTCCCCCAACTCATCCACCGTATTCCAGCGGATCCGCCAGATTTGGAACATCGCTGTTTCGACCGCATCCACGTGCTTTGGGGGACAAGCCAGAATGGATTCCGAGCGAAGATCGTCGAAAGAAGCACCGCCAGCGTCAAAGGGCTCTCCAAGCTCCCGCTGGACGAAGAGGAGGTGGAAGAGAACGCAACCGACGCTCTGCACGCGCTCATTGCGTTCATGGAAAGGTATGTCAGCCAACGTCGTATGGATCATCAGCCGGGACAGTGCATACCCGAGGGTCTGATCGAGTTCTTCAGTGAATATCAGACCCAGCTTCGACGCCCAAGAATCGGGGCCGAGGCGTTTCTTCTTCTTTCGTTGCTCCCTGCTGTAGCGAATCCAGGCCTTGATAACCACATGACGCTGGTCCCACAATCGGAGGACATTGCCAACGACCGGGATAGCAGCGGAAAACACTTGAGCAAGGTTCGAGTTCACATGGATCTCCGCCTTCGGATTGAGGTAGAATGGGACGCGATATGTCCCTATCTTTGTAAGCCATTTTTGATTAGTATTATTGGAATAATCCTATAAGTGGCGCACCTTTGAGTCTGGGACTTTTTTGCGTGCCTTATGAATCATATTTGAGTAGCGAACGAAAGTTGCGTGAGGCAGAAAGAAGTTATCCAGCTGAGTTGGTCGATCTGGAGCGTTGAACAGAACGCCATCCAGGAACTCGGACCAGCTGAATTCGTACTCGTCTGACTGCCCTCGTCGCTCAACATGACGCCGAACAAGAACTGCAGGATAAAACCTGCTCCCAGAATCGTCCGGATCGTTGGTCGCTGGATAAGGAACAGCCAGAATCGAGCCTGGGTGCGAATTATCGCACAACTTGCAGATGAATCGCACACGATCCAAGAGCCAATTCGTGTCGGAATCCAGGCAGCTGATGTGAGAGCACTGGCGACATGATTCACAGGGCACCAGACCGCCATTAGCCCGCTTTGATTGTTTTGCAAACTGAGCTTGCTCTGAGCACCCATCGCATCGAAGCGTACTGCCCTCTTCCACGACAGCTTTCCCCGAGTCCATTTCTAACTCCGAGTCGCTCGAGTCCGAATCAGCTTCATCTGCTCCAGATAATGTGGCGATCGCTGGCGGTGGGGAAGGCGATTTGTCCATACTACTCAGCAGGTGTTTTCCGATGTGAGCTGGCGACGCCTGCACCGGATCCAGCGTCTCTGCGATCATTCGCTCGACCTCGAGCTCATCCCATGAAGACGTGATTGCTCCCAACATCTCGAAATCGCTGCTCTGATTGTCGCTGGACGCATGTGGGGTTTCGTGGTGCTTCAACCAATCTGGCATGGCTCGCGTGGGAGTCGTCGGTCGATCTGGAAGAGGAGTCGGATCGACGATGTGGTAAGGATTGCTTTGAGAATCGATAGACGGTATCTTGGTATAGTCTTGTTCAATCTCTTCGACAGATCGGTTGAGTCTCTGTGGCGCTGTGAGTACCACGGGCAGCCCGGAAAATCTTCAATTACAAACCGATTCCTTGGTCGTCCGCACATAGATCACATAGTTCGTCGAAAAGTCCCAATTTGTGATGTCGGAGAGCGGCCCTATCTTTTGCAGAGTACCGTTATGGCGTGTATCGTCGTATGAGTACACCGTATCATTGATGACGACCGTCGAAATAAAGTGCCCAACACCACCAGGAACAAACTTGACAGCCGATACGAGCTTGTAGTTCACGGGCCCAATAGTGAACTCTTGTGGAAAGACAGGGCATTGACAGTCGACTCCTTTCCAGGGCCAAAACCCATTTTCGTTTGGGTTGTCTGCCAACATACCAGTCCCGATGCGCAGAATGAGAGGAAATTCGACGACGATGGATGTCACTGTGGAATCTGAGGCGCAATGAGAACCGTCCTCGCAGTGAATGGGCAGGGATTGATGTAACGGTTGTGCAGTCTTTCCCTGAAATGAATCCCGAGGAATGAAATGGAGAAAATAGTCTTGAAGTGTGGCCCGTCCGTCAGAGGAGGCCTGTGCAATCAATATATCATCGCGATGAAGACCAAACTCGATTTTCGGGCGGATGAATTGCGTGGTTTGGTGACGCATATGGGCCTTGCAGGTAAAATGAACCTGATATCCAATCCCAAATTGACTCTGGATGGCGAGAGTTGTATCGATCTAAGACACAAGTTCAGCTAATATATCTATCCAAAAGTCAGAAAAACAAACCCGTAACATCTGATTCATCCAAGTTCGACAACATCCTGGTTGTCCGTCAACTCTATCCCCCCCATCCCATATCCTGCTCAGCAGAAGTTTGGCGTGCTGTTGCCCAAAATACAGACACGCATTCAACCAATGCATCGAGGGCCTTGATGTGTTGCGGAAATTCTTCCCATGCAGGTACGACGAGCTCCATTCGCCAGAAGCAATACCACGAGTCCAGAAATGTTCGAAAATGTCCCGCAGACCAGTTGAGGCAGCATCGGTGCGGATTAGAGCCATGAGGTCGCTCCTTTGAGTCGTCGAAAGCGAAGTAAAAGATCGGTACAATGCCTCGAGCGAAGCGTCCAAGAAACAGGACATTGAGTCCCATTTATACGATTGGAGAACAAGAGAGGAGGGGGAGACCAACGGCGGCTGATCTGCGTTTTTTTTGATTGCCTCGGGCATATTGCACGCTGTGAATCGTTCATCCTGTGTGAGATCCGCAGCTCTGACTGTACTCTCTGCTTCCAGGCGGTTCAGAGCGTCGAGTCGGGCCCGTGTATCTGGAGCACGGCCATCGTTCTCATGCCACTGAATATGTGATTTTGGCTGCGGTTTTGTTCCGCCGAACTTTGGATCAACGTGTCCGCCTGTACGCTTGTCAGTGAGGCTGTCGGAAAATTCGATAGAAAGCGCACTGAGAATTGCTTTGTGAAGCTGTTCCGTCTCACGTGAAAAGACGTACAAGCGTCGAATCCCTTCGACGAGATCATGGCCAGTTCCGGCCGCACGATATAAGACCCAGTGAGCTGATTCCGCAGTGTTTGTTGAATCTGGAATGCGAGCACGAAGCTGAGCCGGCATTGAAGCCATGCTTGGAAAAATGAGTTGACCGTTTCCTTCGAGAGTCCACCAGGACAACCATGGCCGAATTTCCGGGAACTCGTTACGAATGCTCTCGACTGCATCGAGAAATTCCTCCGAAGAGGTGTGCTCGCTTTCGAGCACTCGAACCAGGCTGTCAAAGCGATAGGAATATTTGACGCCCACCACTTGCTTGATCTTGTGCAGCGATCGTTTCCAGTGGACAACACAGCCCTTTAAGAGCTGTTCCGCTTGCTTTCGAAGCGCACTCTTCTGTACCGCTCGAGCCTCATCACTGAGACTGCTCCATCCGGGGATTCGGGCGCACATGAATTCGACGAACGAGGAAATGAATCCATTTCTTTGTGCAGCCGAAAAATCAACGACCTGAGAGATGGACACATGAGGAGGTATGCAGGTGACAGATCATTGGACACACCGCGCTGAATAACTGTGGATTGAATTCGTGGCCCAGACTTCGAATACAGACCTCTGCTATGGCCGGAAGGAGTTGATCAAAATGCGACTTGTGATGTGCCTCGTCGAGTTGCCCGATCCACGTGTAGAGCACGGGACACCATCGCAATAGTGTTGGGGAGAATACCAGGGATGTAAGCAAGACACCGCGTTTAAAAAAGTCATGGCATCCGTCTGTTGGAAGACCATGGCGTCCACTTTCCACTTCGAGTCTCTCTTCCGACCAAGATTCAATCTGATCGCGCAGAAGCACATCCCGCATGAATGGCGTTTGCATGACCACAAACTGACCGCCGATGAGCTCTGACTTGATGATAAACGGTGTCTGGAACATATCACGCAGGCTGGACATTGTGTCGACCAGATCAAAGCCACTCTGTCTTGAGCGAGTTGGAGCAACGATTCCGAGCCGAATTTTACTCCGTTCGACCTCAGAGCGAGCCTTCCGTGAGCCGAATAAAGCAGGATTGATGACTCCAAGCGGAGTCTGACCCAATTCAGCGCCCACCCGGAGCTGTTGCGCAGTCTGAGTTGGGTTCTGACGGACTTGGACATCCAGTTCAAGCGTTTCTGCTGCACTGAGCCGCTTCGTGGGTGGTCGAGCATGGGAATGGTAGCCTTCGTGCTGTCGGACAATGTGCTCGGCTGCGTCGGTGTCTTCATAGTTGTAAGTTGTGTATGATGCATCACACGGGATATGGACCAGATTTGTGCGGCACTGGAGACACCGATCGTTTTGTTGGGCTTCTCGTGACCTCTTCTCCTTCTTTGGGCGGATCAGACGACTGAATTTTCCGCTCGAATCACGACACGCGCAGTGATAGACTCCAAGGCAGCGATTCTTGTTGACCGAGTACGCGTCGGATGGCAGACCGTGTCTACGTGAGCCTGATGATCTCCAGGCCCATCCTTCGTCATTCCAGTCAGGCGGAAGCTCGGAAACAAGACAGTCAACTTTGAAGTTGCCATCTGGCCAACGAGTTGAGGGCACAGTGCTCGAGTCAGGAATGACCTCGATTTTTGCGGCAGGCCCAGAGTGCGGGATTGTGGCATTTGGAGCCGGAAGAATAGTCGGTGCAGCAGAGGGATGACCGGGCAGATTGTGGAAGGGAGCTGGGTAGAATGGAAACGGTGGATAGGGATAAGCAGTACCAGGATACATCGACCATGGATTGAATGGGACTAGCTTTAATGTGAGCTAATAAGAGCCCTGAACAGAATAAAATGACGCACAGGCAGGGGGATATCCTATCCCATGCACAGATCCTGTCGTTCCCGGTCCAAGTCCAGCTGCTGTGTGTTGGTGTGAATGGGTGCCAGACGCTGTGCCGGACGACGCAGCAGAAGAAGGGGGGATATTTGGGTTTGGACCCAGACTCATATAAGACCAAGCATTTTGAGTTGATGGGCCCGAAAAGCTCAACGGAGGTGGATCTGTTCATGTGTTTGTCTTTTCACTTGATACAGGGAAAAATTATCGTACAATGCACGGGTCCCCATGGGCCGTTTCCTGGAGAAGTGCCATAGTAAGGTGGGAATTGTTGTTGGAAAGGGAGAGCTTGCTCAGAGGAAGGGCTCCAACCCAACCAGCGCTTCAGTCGATCAAGCATTTGAGTGCGTCCAAAGAAGCAAAAAAGATTTACACTGCCACGTGTCAATCAGTGCATTGGCACTCTCGTCTGGCAAGCCACTGCAAGCCAATCTGCTTGATGTGATCAGACATGACAGCTTGCACTGGTTGGACAACAGAAAAGAGGATGTCTCAGCTCTTCTGAGCAAAACAGTGGGCAGAAGGCATTCCTTAGTTCTGTGGCAGATCCCTCTATTGACCTGAGAAGTGCGCAGAATTGTAATAATTTATTGAACGAGCAATGCATGGGACATCAATCGCAAGCCATTCTGCCTGATGCGATCATTTGTCCACTTGCACTGCAGATCGGGATAGAATCCACGATTTTTGTTATGTCCAACAACCTCTCTGTGCAGAATTTTCTACCAATCGATATTTAAAGCTCCTCTAAGGCTCTCAAGTGTCAAAAAGACAGATTAGATCAGGCATATTTAGAGTGCTTTCCCGTCTCTCTCTTACACACCTTTTGAATTTCTACGGCTCACACTCTGTCTCCAAGCAATATTCGTTAGAATCAGCGCATACGCGAGTCTATTTAATGTAAAGAAGCTTGCGCGCTTTTCAGGGCTGCCTATAACATATGTCTTCAATAGGTTTTACAAAAATTGGAGAGCTTCCTACTCCGAAATCGATCGAAGTGTGCTTGCTAGCCTGCAAGAGACGGATATTCTTAAGTCACATATGCACAATATAGTGCTTGTTCTGTGCGATTTCACCGAGTCGGACCCTTGATTCATGCTGCAGAATACAATGCCTATGAACTGGGTGTATTCATGGCCATCAACTACTAAACATACTGAGCAGGGCAGCTGCTCGGCCGTGGTGCAGGGCTCGGAGACAAATTAGTCGCGACTCAGAATTTACACAGTATTGCTCACCGCTACTGTGAATAATTCGACGGTAGAGATAGTCTCTGACTTGATTCAGCAAAAAAGCCCACCGGCTTGTAGTTGAAGTTTGAACTTCTACAGCGCCGTGGCGACCCAAGTTGAGATTTTGCGGCAAACCGTAGCTCGTTCATGTGACCATAGACCTTAGGTATCTCTAACGAACACCCGAAAGCACTTGTGGAGCCGCGAAAGTACTAGGATATAGAAATAATCATATTTTATTTCGCCGGACACAAGCCAAAATGTTGGCTTGGCAAGCCGGCATTTTGGCTTGCAAGCCTGATGGCATCACTCACAGGCCAAATCCCATCACAAGCCAAAAAAAGCCACTTGGCGCGGGCCCAAGCCACTTCGGCAAGCCCGAAACGTCGCTGTCGCACAACAGCGCAGGCATGAGTCGCATTCGTGCCTACAAAATTGAGAATCAAGATTGGAAGATGAGGTATCAGCAATCCTGACCTTTTCAACCGGGAAAGAGTCCATATCCCTCGATAGCTTTTCTACGTCACCGAGTTCTGCGTTCTGGACTCGCCGATAGTCCCAGTCCAGTAGCCTCCCGGCGGTAACTGATCCGATGAGCATCCCTCCACCGATCGCTTTCGTGGTATAAATAGCATCCCTAGACCTCGCTCACATTGCACGCACAGAGATAGCATAGCCCCAGCTGAGTCTCGGTCAAATCCGTATAGGTCTCCTTGAATATGGTCGATATCGATGCAGTCACCCCGTAGAACACAGCGCAGATGATACCGGTGAACAGGAGCAGAAACAGGATGTCAAGATTAGAAAGAATCCTCAGCGGGTTTTCGAATGGCTTCCGGGATAAAGCCTTTCCGGCTGAGTCTAGACGAGATTTTGAGCTACCAAGCAGCGGTAGGACTGGGCGCGAGAAAAGGGGATTCGACGGGGGGATACTGCCGTTTCCGACTATGGAACGCAGGGTTTCAGGGAGTAGGCTGGGGACCGGTGTGAGTGTACGCTCTATTGCAGGACTCAAGCACACACAGGAGAAGAACCAAAGCACATCCAGAGGAAGTTATCACGAGAAACCAGAATATGGACCTGAAGATGCGTGTCAGCTAGTCGACCCGTAATTGTAAAATAACCCAAGCGACAGTGCATACCTCCAGCCCAAGCTCCCCGCTAGCAGCCCGCCAATAACCGGACCCAACGATGGCCCAGCCATGGGTCCGATATTGTACAAGCCGAAGAAACCCCCACGTTCTGCCGGTTCGGAGATATCCCCAATGACGCCCGCGCCTGCAAGACGTTAGCTCCCGCACGCCGCTAGTAAGAATATGCCGTACCCAGTGCAATAGTGCTTGCAGATCCGGCAGCTTGAACGCAACGCAAGACCATCAGCAGCCAATACGCGTTGGTTGGAACGAGCGCAAGGCCAACACATGATACCGCGAGAAGGATGAGACATGCGATGAACATCGGTCTTCGGCCAAATGAGTCTGCAAGCGTGCCCCAAAACATAGGAGCTAGGGAGGTGCAGTATTGTCAGTTGCACTGTGACAAGGGCTAGTGGCGACTGCATACCCAATCCTTGAAAGATGATGTACGTCGTCACCTTTCACTCAGTGTTAATTCTGTCAGCACCAGATCAGCGCGTGCGGACCGTGAGATTGATCAGCTCCGTCGTTTTGCGAAATGCTAGGGCAATGGTCGGGATGACAGGGAAGTAGATATTCGCGGACAGTGGACTGCAGGGCGGTGGCCCACGCCGTCAGTTCATCTATCAGCATGTGAGTTGCATAATAGTCGCACCTGAATAATCCACCAAATGCAATCAAAAACACGATAATCCACTTCTCTCTAGCCGTATATATGCTGTATGGAACGGATTGCTCGCCTGTGCCAGATATCTCGTCGGTCAGTGGCAGAGCGTTGTGTACAGGAGAGTCAGAGACGCCCATTGGGCCGTTTCGAGCGTCGTTAGAGGTTGCGAGGGTGTCGTGATTCTGGGGCATCATGAGCAGATGACTATGTACTGGAAAGATGCCCTGTCTCTGCCCTTTATATCATGGGCATGAAGAACGACATATCCGATCATATCCGAATCGTCACCGGAACTCCGGCCGGCATGAGTGCGGCTCGGCTCTTCGGACAGATCGAGCGGAGTGTTCGCTTCAATTATGAGATAGATAAGGTTTTCAAGGACATAGTCCCGAGACGGATCTAGCGTCCGTGAGTGAGTCATAGCTGCTATCGGGTCCTTCGGGATGTAAGATGACAATCGCTTCGTGTTCCACTCGGTCGGCAGACACGTCTCACATCATGTTGCTTTGCGCGAGAACGGCTCAAAAATTGGACAGGACAATCTTGCCAATTTCAAAGAAAATTTCCGACAGTTTGAAACACAACTTTTCAAGTCTAGCCCGGGAAATCAAACTTTCGGATACATTGAGGCACATGCTTGTTTTACGCTAGCGTCCTACACGATATCGTGGCTATTTCCAGTGCGATAACACAATTTACGGGCTTCAGAAGACATTGAAGTCCTTTTCCTGTCACTCATGCAGCTTCGAAACGACTTGGATCAATCGCGTCTACTCGACTAAGAAACAATCGAAGAAGATCAGAGGTGGGTATGTATGTCGACATGATTTGCTATTTGACGCAATCCAAGGTGGTACTCGACTCACGAAGAGCCGGGTTGTTGCCGGCCGCTGGAGTTCTGAATTCGTGATCGCGATCTACTAGTGCGTCGTTCGGGAATTCGGAGAAAAAAACAAGATTCGCTCGTATCGACAAACATGAGTCCGACCCTAGCCACAACCGGTTTCAAATATCTACTCACAGTCGAAACAACAGAAAAAGCGCATCTGAACTGACGAGAGAAACGATGGGAGGGGACTTTGTAGCTGGTGCAGATGATGAATGGTTTTCAATTGGCAGAGGGAGGTTTAAGGAGGATCAGATAAAAGTGCTAGGCTGCCTAGGCAGCATCCAGTCGCCACTTTATGACCTTGTCGAGATCGATGACATGCCTCTAGTAGTCAGTACATCTAGTGAAATTGTGTCCAATAGTAGCGAGAGCAAGTGGAGTTTTATTGAGCGGCACTGAAGCGCTGCTGGTGTCATGTAGGGGCACCACGGGAGAGTCAGGTTGTCGAAAAGATGTGTGACGATCGAGGGCTGTCCCCACACTGAAAGACGTCGGAGACTGGCGCCAGCGGCGTAAGTTCAAGCGGAGGAGCGCTGCAGTCGCAAGTAGACGCGGCAACTATCGATTCTACATCATGTCGCCTCTCTGTCGCCTCTCAGTCTGCTAGGGATATCACGGGGTTCTGTTTCCCTCCCTTGGTCACGAGAACTGAGCCAGGATGCCATCAGCGCCTGTGATTGATCAAACCACAAAAAATAGGTAGTTCGCAGCGGCGATTTCGCCAGGTCTTGAGCGTTCCAGAAACTAAATAACTGCTTCCGAGAGCAAACGGGAGTTTGTTCGGATCCCGAGATACTTTGTGGCTGTTGAAATCCAAAATCTATTTAAGATGCAGTGTTCTGAAGCGCGTGTGGTGTTCGTAAGTTCAGGGATATTTCCGGTATTTATCGGAGTAAATCTGATAGGCTGAGAAGGTTGATCGGCCGGAATGCAGTCGGGAAAGAATCTTGTGACTTTGCTCTCCGAGATTTCTCTCTTGCGACACAAGTTCAGCGCATTGGTTTCAGTAACGCCAATGCATGGGTTGCGGCTGTCAGATGCTCATTGCTCTCGGACCCGTAGAGTTCTGTTATCGATCCATGCCCAGTAGATGCAAACAGGCGTGCACACACAATCACCTATTTACCCCATTTCATCGCCTCGTGTCTGGCTTCCTTGCATCCTTTCGGGTTTCTTCGCACGGCCTCGAGGATGATGACGACGATAATCTTTGTCTGCCCGCCCGTCGTCTCGCCCACGGACAGCTGTGCCTGGGCCAGTGGATGCTCATTACATCACAGGAACCCGACTTGTAGTGCGCCCACTTCATCTCTGGCACTGGGGTCCAATTTGGCCATTTCTTGCTGCCGTGTTGGTCGGTCGGCCGTTCAGCTCCTGCGCGCTGATTGGGGGATGTTAATCGGTCCATCATCGCATGCTGTCCCCGTCCACATGGGCCGCAGAATCTACTCTGAGCTCGTTCTGTTTCACGCTTGCTATTGGACAGCGAGGCATCCTGATTCCTGCGTTCGAAGCACTGGTGTCTTATCTCGGTCAATCGGTCTATTGTAAAGCTGACCACCTAATCCTTTGAGAGCCCGCAACTGGCTGATGACTTTCCATCATGGTCACTGGCACTGTACGATAGAGACGGGTCCGAGCACCGCTCGTCCATTCTATCCGCGAATCTTCTTGGCGGGCCCACGAAATTTCGCATCCAAATTAAACGGGCCTGGACTTTTGGGCACCATTAGTGTTCCGGCTGATCGCCCCGGTGACCCGTATCTCCGTCTCTCACGAACGACAGATGGGTGTTCGCGGGGATATCCACATTTGGAACAAGGCGATATTTGATGTGCGGTGTCATCCAGCGCTTACTTGGACAACAGCGACGAGATAAATTCGTTATGGGAGATGAGATGCATTACAGTTAAATGAGCAGGTTTGGAATTGATCCCATGTTTGAATCTCACAAACGTACGCTCGGCTGGTTCAGACCCTCTCCCTGTATTCGATCTTGTGGCGAATCAGAGACTCTATATTTTGCCCAGTTCAAAAGTCAAGCGATGAGACCCGTCTCGACCGGACAGCATGCTTGTTGACTATCAGACCTATGACTCTCGAGCAGTCCAGAATCGCATGCACTGGAAGACTGCACCCGTGGGTGCATTCATATTGACGCATCTTCCATCTGTCTGATAGGTGATACTTTGGCAGAACCCATCTACGCGAGTGCTCGTCTTTGAATGTCCGACGTGCCCTCCTCCGACGAGCTTCTTGGAGCAGTCCCCGTCGCCGTGAGCCTCGGCTGAGTCCACCGCATGACTGGTCTCCACGCTTACAGGATGCTCGCAACGTCGAGTTGGTGAGAGACAGATCGCTCGTCTATGGCATGGTAGGGGTTCATCCTCTCTCGCAGCCGCCGGGATCTGCATTTCCCAAGCGGAACAGTCTCTTTTGACCTTCACATGGAAGCAACCGTCAGTTTCACAAAATACCCGGCCACTCGGTGCCCCGCCCGCCAAACTACCGGAGTCAAGCGGGGGAATCGGGAACAGAATATGTCTTGTTGCATGTGCTTACAGGTTGAATGACACGGCGGCCGGTGGTTCTCTTTGTGCTCAGCGGCGCAGAACGGAAGCTTAAGAAAGTGTCAGAACAGACAAGTTTGGATCGATGAATGAGTCTAGAATAGCAATCAGCTCGAGGGCCAACGAAGTTGTGGACATCAGTCCCCTCGATCGACGTGACAGCAAAGAAAAAAGCCTCCTTCAAAAGATTCTAGCACTGTGAGACGGTGACTCTCCACGCAAAATGGCACAACCCACCGAATGATGTCCGCATGTCGTTGTGATTGCGGTTCGTGATCGGCGCATGAGCCACAGCTGACAACCTTCGTGCCATCATATCATGGACAGTACCGTCTGTCTAATGAATGCCAAGTCGAGGAAGCATTCCTTGTTTATGCGAATCACTACCCTGCCCAACTTGTTCAGCAGGTTCATCAGGCGGGATGAATGTCCGACCGGAGCGTCATGAGCAATCCTTGTCCCGAAAGGAAACATTGACAAGAATTTGTGGAACATGCTGGCCTTCATCGGGCGCCATTCATTCACTTGAAGCTCAGTATACACACGGAAAACTGATCAGGGTGCATGGATGATTTTGTGGATATTGTACATACAATGCTCGACCACGAGTGCACAACCGACGACGACGATAAACGACCTGATCTCGACTACCAAGCACATATAAGTAAAGGGCATAGCGGGGTGGAGAATACATAAGTAAGAGAGCAGACGCGACGATAGCAAGTGAAAAGAAAACAATAAAAAGTAATAATATATCGCGCCTGCGTGAATGAGACCGAGTAAATGACCAATAATGTAGCTGAATAGAAGCGGAGTGACAGGTAATTTGTGCAAAAGTCCGCAGTCAATGATAATAACCAAGTGATATCATACAATAAGTGGCAATGAATGGCGCGGTGAGATCAAAGAGCGATGTAGAGTAGCGAGCGGAAGGGTCGTGGTCATCATCATGAGCAGGCGGAGGGTGTGTGCGTGTGTGAGAAGGAAAGAGTACACGATGAAGCAAGTGAGATCCCGTTTCAAAACACGAAGTATAAAGAGTCCCAAGAAGAGTGTGCATGCGTGGTGTCCAAGATAGATATAGACCGTCGATGGGGGTGGGAGGCCAGTGGTACAGCGGTGAGCACGAGTGCCCGATCTCTTTTCGTTTGCGTCGCAGATAGAGTAATAACGTTCTACAAGAGCTAGTCAGGGAACCGGGTTGCGACGGACCAGAAAGCAGCACTTACAGCAGACGACACTGACACTCAATAACCTCCACCAGCCTGGATAGCCGCATAGTACTGCGCATTGCTCATCTCGAGGTGCTGTTCTTCCTCTGCCCATCCATACTGAGATGCGTGCTGGTGCGCCGGCGGTTGTTGCGAGTGCTTCGAGACTTGCTGGCCGTAGTAACTCGGGCTGTGTGGTGGGCTGGGCAACCCATGATGACGACCGACATCCTCTGTATAATACTGCTGCTCCGAAGGGGGCGAAGCCGAATGAGCGGACCGGTCGGACGGTGGCGAAGAAGCGAACGACGAAAGCGAGCTGCTGGACGCATAGCTAGTCAAACCATGATGTGAGATGGAATGTGTTCGGGGGCTATGATTGGGAGGGTAGAACCCCTCGAGATCCGGCTGCTCTTGCTTGACTTGTGACGGTGCCGAAAAATAGTCCGGGCCATCGTACTCGTACAGCGGACTCGGTGCCTGCGGGTGTGGATGCGAGTATGAATGGGAATGAGAATGAGGGAGAGGCGCCCGGGCGGAGGATGGAAAAGTCGCATACGAGGGTGATGCCGGTAAGCTGTGAGCACCGTGCGCATGCATTTGGACGGGTAATGGGTACCCCGACCCATGCACAGCGGGCCCGAAAGTCGGGTTCAGTGGACTGGGCGAGTTGCTCATCGAGCTGGGATAGACACCGGACGCTGGGCTGCCGAGCGGGCTTCCGCCGGGGTAGAGCGAGAGGCCGGGGCTAGGGAGTGGGCTTGCGCCTGCATAGTGATATGAGGTCGAAGACGATGGGTACAGCCCTTGAGGAGGCAGAGGGATCTCGGGTGGCGGAACGCCATATCTGCGTCGCCCGCGTACGCCAGCCATCATGCTTGCGTTGACAGTAACAAGCGCTCGCATCATACGCTCGTTAAGCGGCTTGTCTTCGGGTGCCGAGTGGACCGTCTGGAAAGTGTGAGCGGTTGAGGACGATTGGAGATGACCAGTACAGACCTGGGCATGCTGGCGCAAATTGTCAAGCCTAGAGAACTGCTTGGAACAATGACATGTGAATGGGCGTTCCCCCGTATGCTTTCTGCGCGAACGTCAGTCTCATGCAGTAGACGGAAGTGATGGAGAAGAAATCCGCAGCCCTCCGCACACCCTGAAAATCGGCCGCCGGCCTCGGCGAATGCCCTGATAAATTCGACAGACACGACTTTGTTGTGATCGCGCGGTGCGAAAATCTTCCGCTCGCGATGTCAATGTGTCAGATCACAAGTCATTAGCGAGTCCGGCTGCCGAGGGCGCTGAGGGAAGTAGGATGAAAGGAGAGCCCGACTCGACGCATCCACCCAAACAGGAGGGTCAGACCGGAGGTGCTACCACCGGCGATAGGGGGGACAAAAATAGGAGCAGGAAACATGCGATGGGATGGAGCGAAAGCGGTCTCGGAGCTGCCGCGCCAACAAGGTACGACTGTCAGTGAGACGCGACCTCGCTCGTATCCATGTTCGCCGTGAGCGAACTGACACAAACGACGCCGACCCATGCCTGAAAGCAGAGGTGAAGTGCGGGTCCCGACCTGAGAAAGCTCACATTCCCTATGTGGGAGTAGCTGACACCATATATTGAATGATGGGGACCAAGCAGAAGAAAAGGAGGTGGGGGATATGCTATCGGAAACATGGGGGGATACACACCTTATGTGCCTCGCAAGGTGCTCTGAGCGACTGAAGACCATCCGACAATCGCCATATCCCGTACACTGAAACGACTTGGCCGGCGCGGAGCGGTATCGTTTCGCGGACCCTTGAAGACTGGAGTGTATCGATGCGTCGTAATCAGCCGGGGGAGGTGGGAACGACGACATCCCCTGATGGTGCGCATGCATCGCGGCCTGGTGCTGTTGCTGCTGCTGGAGCGCGTACTCCAGCTCGAGGTGCTCGTAGTCGGAAAGCGGGGACGGACTTGGCGAAGCGAGCATGGTGAGCGGGGTGATGGCGAGTGGAGATTAGGCGAATGTGTAAGGCGTATTAGAGAGGAGGGGAGGAGGAGGGGGAGGAGGGGTCCAGCGGTGGGACTATGTACGAGGAAGAGTAAAGTAAGTACAAGGACAAGATTGCCGTATCCCAAGTCGGATGAAAGGCGAAACCAAAGCAGAGTGATCTTTCGCTTGTCCTTTTACAGGTCTGACGGAGGAAAGCTTATGTCAGCGGTCCAGACCCTCTGAGGAGGCACGATCAACGGAATCGAAATCAAGATCCCATCGAGATGAGTCACGCTCGTGACACTCCCCATGCTGATTTGAACAGCCTCAGTCCTCTTCGGCTGGGCACGGCGCTTGTCTCGATCACACCGGCTTTCAAATTTGCAGGCATTCGGGATCCGGTGGGTTTGGCACAAGATGGATTGTTAGAGCTCTTGTTCTTGTTTTGCTTTTGGCAGGAGACATTGTCATCCGACAGATGGACTGGCAGCTCCACGCTCTCTGTCGTCCCAACCTGTCCTCTTGTTCTTTGGTGAGCCAACTCACGTTTCGATAGCTTACACGCTCGCTGATTTTGGTGTTTGAGGTCGAAGCATGCATATGGCCTGGACGTCGTGCTTCGAGAATTCGGGACGAAGCGAGCCCCGACTTTGCGTCTCGGGTTTGCTCGGCGGCCTTGTTACGTCCTATTACGCTCTTGCTTTCAAGAAGTGGGTATTCGATGCCTGGGCTACGTATCTTCCTGTCCGAATCTCTCTCCGGCAGGCGTGTCTTCGTCCTTCATGCTCTCCATTCGAATCGGCAGAGTCTCGCAGCTTCAGTTCTCAACGTCAGTAGAGTAGGCCGTGGGCTTCATTCTATCTGAAGCATGGGCTCGTGCGTCATTCTGAATCCGTCAACGTATTCTCTTTGCTCCAAGTAGCTTCCATGAGTCACAAATCATGACATGCTCCGGATGGATTTTATGTTGGGGTGCTTATTATGTGCCCCGGTGATACCCTCCACCCGCTGTCTAAATTTGACTGGCCTTTATCGATATGGCACCGAAGCTGGGGCGGAACTTTGGCTTGGTCGCAAGGCTGTGTCCCCGATTGCGGCCTTTCAGCACGTGCAACCACGCGAGGGGACACAGCCGCTGCGACGTTTCGCGTCGGTGTCTCTCTGTCTCCGCTGTCATCGAACGCGCCTGTCAGCTACCCCGGGTTCTGACTCGGTTCCGGCGATCGTGCTGCATGTCGAGCTAAGTGCGAGCCGTCCCTTCATCCGTGAGAGTCTCCGTCTGGCTCACCCTGCTATCATTTGATATGTCCAGTCCACGTTTGGATCAATCGAAAAAAGCGCACTTGGCAAAAGAGGCAAGTGAATTCGGGATGTCACTTTACTTCCCGCTTATGCTTTTGAATTGTGTTTCAGCCGAGTTCGCGTTCGAGCTCTGACGGGGATTTCCGGGGTCGAGACCGCCCAATTATTGCTAGACGGTGGACGGCCAGGGCTCTTCCTTTGTTCTCGCGCGCATGGTGAGAGTACTCTCTCGAAAATTGACCATGTGCACTCATTCAATTCGATGTCGATAGCTTTGACAGCGATGCTCCTCAGACATGAATGCGCGCATCTTGCCCTGCCCATGTCTTCGAAGAATGCAGAGATCGATTCTATCTGCAGCCCCAGGGTTTCATGTCTAAGTCTAGGCTCTAGGTTTATCGAAGACCTAATGCGGTTTAGTGAGCCATGACCTGGCCGACCAAACGACGAGGTGAGACTCTGGCCCAGGAAGCTAAAATGATATGCACCGACACGAATCCCAGGGTGTTTCATCTACAGTCTCTCTCCCATCCTACCTCGTTGGATCCTCATCCGTTATATGCTAGATAATGCTGGTTGCTAATCCTTCAGTCATAGTGGAAAGATCGCTATGACTTAAGCTTCATTTTTATCACGCACGTATCTTTGGCTCTTGAGAAGACTATTAATAGCTTAGTGCCGCCTGAGAAGTCGGTAAGAACATTAGGATTTGGATTGATCCTTGAACGACTTCAGCTCAAAGTCTTCGATGAATGACGCAGCCAGCATTTATACTAAGCAGACAAGGGTTGTTTCAGAGATGTAACTGATGGCGCATCATCGTCGAATGCATCAAATCTGTGATGCGTCATCATTAACGACACGATGTCTCCCTATGAGGGAATGAGTGGATTCGGTCCCGAGGCCACATTGCTGAACTGTGCCTGGAAAAGAATTCATTCGAGGCTGTCCATCGATCTCCAAAAGTGTGCGAAACCGACGAATGCCCGGAGCCGCCAGAAGTACACCATCGCCTCGAGGCGCCTCGAAGCCACCTCCGAATGAAAACCTGCTGAATCCTGCTCCGCCGCCAGTGTCGCAAATTGGCGGACTCTCGAATTTCTGGGTCCAATCCAGAACGTATGGTCGATCCAGGCTTCTGATCATCCTCGTCTGTGAAACGACGGCGATCCCGCCAGCGGTGCAACGCGCGGGCCTTCCAAGTAGATAGTACACCCTTGACATCGCGTGACTTGAGCCGGAATCCGACTCGCCTCGGGGCGGCCAGCACGGGATAAGCTTTGCGCCGTGTAACGGGCCGCCGTCGGCGCGCCACAAAGTGGACGGATCCACTAGCACTATGTCAGCTACAATGGCTGTCTTGTCGTACCAGTCAAAGGAACGTCGTCTCCGAGGTAAAAGCAGTCGCGCTGTGGGGCCGCGACATGCCTGTTACATAAAACGTTCGGTTGAGAAAGACGGCTAGCATCCAGGAACCAACCATGACGACAGGTTCTGGCTCCCACAGGGCCTCCGTCTGCAGATTAGTAGCGGAGGCACACTTACTGGGAGATTCGGAGAAGCACCGGAGTTGGTTCTCAACTCATTGTACACTTGACCTGAATCACCGTCCAGTCTAGTAGGGAATGTCGACAGACGACGAACCTTCTCCGTAGAACTATTAGTGAGAAGATGTTACTGAGATGCCCAATAAAATCCGTCCTTTGCTTGAACGTTCAATCCGGGGGGCAAAGCTGGGCCAAAGACTGTACGAGATCAGGGTAGATTGTGTCATGCCGATAATTACTTCTGATTGTCATCGTCTTGTGACTAATCTTGAAATTAGTGGTTAGGTACCGGATATTCAGGAATTCTTTCAGTGAACCCTAGTCTTCGTTCTTCCTCCTCATCTTAGTCGGACGCCAAATCAGATTTCCCGCCGCAAGAGATCCGTGAATGTCACAGAATAAAATGAGGATAGCCCGGTCTATCGCTCACGGGTCGTCTAAGCGATGAGTTGCCAATGGGAGCAGACAAAATCGAAATCTAACGGAAGACATGGAAACATCGAAATCCGCCCCATTCGTTCGCATTCTTCCTGAGCTCAATAGGGAAAGCTTTTGATCAGGGAGCGAGAATTTCGTTGGGGTTGAGCAAGGCGGAGGCTGCCATCGTCTCTTCCGTCCAGAAGTTGCGTCAATATTGTTTCGGGATCGTGTTCGAAATGAGATATATTGAGGGATTGCATGACGACGACGGAAGTGGATTGGCTACAGGTCGGACCTCAACTAAATTCTTGATTGCAAGCACTGCGATCACTTTCTCACCCATTTCACGCTCAAACGGTATTTTTTGACTGATTTCTCTCGTGATTGTCTAGAAAGCACAAGAACTTGGAAGATATATTGACGATCTCTAATCTCTGGACCTGGTTTCCCCTTCGCGCAGATCCCACGGTTCATTCTGGATGCTTCCATCCTCTTGCAAGGGTCAAACGTGATTTCCAGCACGAACTCCGAGCCAAAACATTGGGTTACACAACCTAGTTTTGCTCCCATAGAGCTTTCACGCTGACCTGAGTGCCACAAGGCTCCCTTTCATGCCCCTCTGACAGGTTACAAGTGTCGCATGTCGAGGTTTGACGTGCACAGTTGAGTTCACTGATTCATAACACACGCTTGTATGATATGGTCATTCGTTGAACTGGATAGACAAGGCCCGGTGATTCCGTTCCGGGACGAACGAATGCAGCTCGGATGGCATATTGATGGCAAACCTGCATTCTATGGCAAGGTGGCCGAGAGGTCTAAGGCGTTAGATTTAGGATGAGTTTGACTCCACTCTAATCTTCACGGGCGTGGGTTCGAATCCCACCCTTGTCATTGACACCATCATTGTTTTGGTCGATATTCTGTCGCTGAAATTTCTCGACGCGCCTCTTCCACGGCACAGTCATTGGAGCACTCATCCCCTGGTGTGATGGTTCACGTCACTTACCCTCTTGAGCGGCCTGTTCCAATATCCCTGCCGAAGTTGGCACCACGGAAAGTAAATCCGCCACTCAATACATTCCCCAGACATTGGTGTTGTTCATTTCCGCCTAATTGCTTCAGTTCACAATTTGATCGCGTCCAAAGGACGCACTTTGAACGACCTCAATGCTATTGTCCCCGAACAATAGCATCAACTGTTTCTGGGAAACAGTAGGTGCTTGGTCAAAGCTTGGGCTATTCAGGATGTGATGCATAGCAAAAAGGTCTGCAACGACAAGTTGTTCTTCCTAGAACTAGATTGATTTTTATTATATTGCAGAGAGACACCGAATCTGACGCACTCGAAAGGGGGCTACAATCTTGTACACGGCCCTAAATATTTTCAGCTATGGTATTCATGACGCACTTTGAGAACACGTAATTGGATATAAAGTCAGAATACTTCTCTTTACTTGGGAAAGGGCAACTGCATAACCGCGGAGAAGCTGGCGTATGCACTAACCGCAAGAGTGCTGAATATGAGTTGACAACAACCACATACTCACATACGTTCCAGAACCCGGCATCCGTATTCTCAACACCCCCGACCTATGACCCCAGATTTGGAATGAAGATCAGAAATGCGCCGCTAGTTTGATGAGCTGGAGAACATGGCGTGGCCAGCTCTATATATGTTCATTGAAATCGGAACAAATACATCCAGTTCCGATCGTCTTGTTCAATGATGATATGCGCTCTGTGCTTTGTGGCAGGAACGGTCTGCTCAATCTGCATTACCTAGCACCCCCATCCACGAGTATGCGTGACTATGAGTCCAGAAAACGGATGCCATCACAGAACATTACTCCAATTCGCATTGTATATGTCTGAGGATGTCTGATCATAATTCAGCACTGTTCTAAATTTTGACCGAGGATACTGGGTTGGTGCATTCCCGTCTGTGTGAGCAACCACTCAGGAGTAACAGAGCTATATGAAATGTTAAAAGTGTAAGCGCTTGGAAGGGAATTTTCCAAATAAATGACGCGCTGCTCGGTCCCGGATCAAACAGATCGATCATCATGTCAGGCAAGTCTCGGTTCACGTGGCATTAGCCTATAAGGCTACACCCCTTCTTCCGATGCGCCGCCGCACGATCCAGTACCTGGTCGTCCTTGCCGTCGTCGTCGTCTGTGCCCACTTCGTAAGTGCGGGGAATGACCTCCCTGGCTTCTCCCAGCCTTTCCGCCACTTACAGCTCGGCAGTACTTTAGCCCGGACCCATTGTCGCTGCCACATACACCGGACTGGCTCGACCTCGATTACCGACCTGGATACGCTGGCGCTGACGCAGGGAAAGACGTTTTAGGCGTAGCTTTGCCGCCGGTGCAGGGTGTGGGGGAGGACTCGGGCAATATTCGAGTAGGAGCTGGAAAGACTTCGGGTATCAAGGAAGTAGGGGCCGGGGCAGGAGCGGTGCCCGCTGGCTCGGGGCATGGGATGGGCGCAGATATTGAAAAAAGGGAGTCGGTTGTTGGTGCGTTCAAGGTGCGTGCGGGACTTTCTTTCCTCCCCGTCGCATCGGCTTGACGCATCCACATGCTCTCTCCACACCTCTCCACTCTCGATCATCCGCTCCGAATGACATCCACCACTTCAGTATGCCTGGTCTGCATACGAGCGCGACGCGATGGGCTTCGACGAATACCATCCCATCTCGCGTCGGGGCTCCAATCTCGCTGGAGCAAACGGGATCGGGTACACCGTCGTCGACGCGCTCGATACGATGCTACTCATGGGGCTCGAGGACGAGTACGGTCGTGCCCGCGCCTGGGTTGAGAAGAGCCTCGACTTCAGCAAAGGTGGATACGTCAGCACATTCGAGGTGCGCACCCACCTCCCCCCTATGTTTGTATTGTGAACGTCTCAGCCAGACAACGATCCGTGTCCTCGGCGGACTGCTCTCGGCGTACCACCTATCCGGCGACTCTCTGTACCTGCGACATGCATCGGACCTTGGCACGCGGCTCTCGAAGGGCGCCTTTGGAGGCTCGCCGTCGGGGATGCCATACCCTCAAGTCAACCTCGGGCCAAGTGCAGGATTGGGAGCGGGCATCAGTGTGTCAGAAGTGTCGACGCTGCAACTCGAGTTCCGGTACTTGGCTCACCTGACGGACGATGAGGACATGTGGTGGAAGGCGGAAAACGTCATGTTGTTGCTCAATCGAGGAAGGCTGGAAAATGGCCTCGCCCCTTACGCCCTAGAGTGAGAATTTTTTTTCATCCACTAGTGCTCTGTAATGCTGATGTTTATTTAATCCAGTATGGCCACAGGAGAGTATGCCATGAGCGGTATTCGGATGGGGAGTAACGCGGATTCATATTATGAGTATCTACTGAAACAATATCTACAAACTGCGAGTCCTTCTCTTTTTTCTCCGGTGAAATTACTCTGACTGCTCTCTGTGCAGAATCAAACGGAACCCGTATACCTGCAGGCGTGTTCAATTGGATGCGGCTATCTATTCCATCACCGCTGATATGTTTCTAGATGTACGAGGACTCGATGCAGGGCATCAACGACCATCTCTTGAAGCGCACCCCTGGTGGCGTGAGCTATATCGCAGAACTTCTGCGCTCGCCAGGCAAGGACTGGAAAAAGTGCGAACCGACGATTGACACATCCAAAAATTCTCTCATTATCACCTGCAGCTCGTGGACACCATCACCAAAACAAGAACATCTTGCGTGCTTCCTAGCCGGTTCACTTATGCTAGGCGCCACCCGAGTACATCTGCGACCGGGTGTCTCGCGAGCGTCGATTCCCCCTAACCTTGATGAAGAGCTGACTTTGACTGGTCGCCGCGACTGGATGAACGGCGTCCGCATCCTCGATGGGTGCATGGATACGCACAAGACTAAGACGTGCGTAGTGTCTGGATCTCCAGTTTCTCTGTCATCTCAAACCCGGGAACAGCGGCCTGTCCCCCGAAGGCGTCAATTTCCGGACGGAGAATGACAAGCCTATGGATCGAGAATGGTATATCCGGGACTGGACGTGCGTGACTCCGATAATCGACCATACCTCGTCCTCATGACGCATCTGCAGACGAAATAGCCGAAATCCCGTTTACGACGCCCGTTACATGCTGCGTCCGGAGATATCCGAATCCGTCTTTCTTGCATGGAGGCTCACAGGCGACCAAAAGTACCGCGATCACGCATGGAATATCTTCTCTGCGATCCAAATGTACTGTCGGTTGAAGAGTGGTGGGTATGCCACCGTCTTGGACGTGGATAGCGTCCCCGTGACGCACTTGGACAAGCAGGAGACGTTCTTCTTGGTGCGTGCCTCGTGTTTTTCGTCGTTAATTGATTTTGATACGCCGCCACTCGCTACGATAGAGCGAGACACTCAAGTATCTGTTCATGATTTTCGCGGACGAGAATGTTTTGGATCTCCATCGTATGTCATAACTCGTCTTTTTTTTTTTGGTTCCGTCTCTGAAAAAGTCGACCTACAGAGGTTGTCATCAACACCGAGGTCATTTCTCACAGTCCTGTTCATTCATTCACGATTCTGACATGAACACAGGCACACCCTTTACCCGTGTTCAAACCCACTATCAAGCCCAAGTTCACGCACTACCAGTGAAAGGACCAGCGTTCGATCAGCCTTCATATCTACTGTCACCTCTCCATACTCATAAAATCAGTGCAATATCACAGCTAACTTAATCTACAAACATTATTCGACCCCGCTTAAGCCGCGTGGCTGTTTCAGACAGTTCGACCGAATTGTAAAGATCCTCTGAGAAGCGCACTAAAAGCAGTTGAACTGGATACAGACAGCTGCATCGTGTGGCGTTCCAAAACCATATCTTCGCTCTGCAGGTAATCACTAAGCATTTACCGCTCTCGCTGTTGCGCTCCCCACAACAATAATTCCCGTGGGATAGCAAAACCGGTGTCCACAAAAGTCCGCGGCGCTGAATCAATCAATTGCTCACATGTCTAAGGTTCATCGAGGTGGCTGTGATTTTCACGTGAGACTAGGTTGAACGGAGCTGGGCCGGTGACTCTAATCCGATTCCTCCCATCCCCAGTCACGACCGAACAAGGCGACATGGGCAAGGGCTCAGAAAAATGCTGTAATTTCCTCAGTAGTGCGATGACTTGAGCGTCGATTCAACCCAATTCGAGCTGATGAACTGAGCAATACCTTCCTGCGAGCGAGATCTCTCACAAACATGACGTGTCATGGAGAAACTGTATCAATTCCTCCCCGTCTCGTAGATGACAAAAGCGTCCTGGTCCAGATCTTCATAGCCATAAGACTCCTCCATCGCCACGCCCTGAATCCCGGCATAATACATATCACCCCGAAAGTTCTCCTCCCGTCCAATACACGGCCCGACCACCGGCATCCGGTACCCAAACGCGATCTCAAAGCTCTCGAGCGGGTCCCAGCCGTGCCGTCCAAACGGCGTTGTCCCAGTCGACTCCCAGTCCTCGAAGACGGGCGACATAATGTGCGCAGATACATGACGTGTGAGCGTCCGGTTCCGGGTGCGGACGCAGCTTCGCGGGCGCGGCTGGTACGTATAATCGGGTGGGAGAGGTATCGGATCGTAGACGGGTCGGTCCAGGGTGTCGGTGTGGAAAATGACCGGGGATATCTCAGAGTCGTCGTCTAAGAACGGCTCACCGGCGTCCGCGTTGAAGGGGTCGAATAGACAGGAGTTTCCGGAAGATGATGAATATTCCGGTGCGTGATGGTGCTGGAGCTGGGACCATAGGTCGAGCTCGTTATCGTCATAGAGACACGCTTCGTGCTTTGAGTTTTGGAATCGGAATAGGTCGAGGGCGAGAGCAGTGGAATGATCCAACTGTCTCAAATTCTGTATGAGACAACGGGATGAGGCTTGAAGGGGAAGATGCGGGCAGAGAATACTCACCTCCTCCGTGAGGAGCTCCAGAGTGGGTGCGTTGGCCGAGCATTCCGTAGCCTCAGAGATAATCGGCGACTAGTTGGACTGACGATGAGATTTCATCGGGAACGGACAAGTGCACGCGCACTCACCCTCGGGTCCGCAGGCGTCCTCTCCTCCGGCGCCGGCTCGAGCGCAGTCCATTTACGCCCGTCTGAGAAGCTCGTTCTGAACAGACTCGAAGAAGGTGACTCCGAGTCCTGAATTTCGATTCCGTTCCAGCCCACGTTTGTTATAGGCAGAAGGGAGTCAAGAGTCGGAGATCGCATGATCAAGGGAGATTTCGGAGGTAGAGATGTGGAACGTAAAAGTGTGAGGAGCGGATATCTTTTTTCCGACATCCTTTATGTACCGCGGGTACGGATGTTTCATGACGAGCATTCAAGACGTGATGTGTGAGAGCGGAGAAAATCGGATGCGCAACGCCACGGGCTTCGATCCGCATGTTGTTGATCCGCAACCTTCCAACCTGCCCTCACTCGGGATCAATTGGTGTAAGTAAGACAAGAATGATAACAGCCGTTCTTGCCAGCGGCTTTTGTACCTGCCATTTGACCTGCCTCTCAAGTTTCTCCAAAAAAACAGGAAACTTTTTATGACTCTCGTTCTCTCAGCGTCTCCAATTAAAATGAAACTTGACACAGAACACGAGACTCCGGACGCCAACATGATCGACAAACGCTTGCAACAGCACAGGAGAAGATCTCAAGGCTCAGTGACCTCAGGTACCCCCATACTCCTGTGTTCATTCCGAAGCGGAGCCTCGGTGTCAAAGTAATAGCGACGAATTGTAGAGACGTAACGGGTCTACATAAATGTCGACGATGGGATCAAAAAACCACCTCGACAGGAAAAGAGAACTTCCGACTTACCCGGATCGAACGGGTGGCATCAAGATGATATGTTGGGTTTCCATTGCATCTTGCGCTCTTCCAACTGAGCTAAAGTCGGATAGGCCGGCGTTTTCGCCAGGGTTATGTCATTCCCCACATTTATCCAGTAAGCAGTTATCTAAGCCTGAACCCATTCCGTCCGCGTATAGTCTAATGGGACAAGGAATGTCATACGAAAGTAGTTAAGTGAGTCCAAAGATAGAAGCACTGGAACAAACGCCTCAAACCTTCATCTCCCCCATCTCGCTCAGATCAGACTCAGCTCGCTGCAGTGTACTGTTCTGATCGGAAGCACTCCGCGATCTGGCAACGAGCCACTGCCTCCCCGCCACGAAGCCATAGACAACGACAAAGCAGACGACGTAAGCCGCGCCCACCGCGAGAATATGCAGCGCAAGAGACAGGGGCTTGCCGTTCGGTGCCATGAACTTGTACGCTGCAGGATTATAACATTGTCAGTGAATGAAATAGACGCGATAGGGGATAGCTCGAGTGCACGAACCGTAGAAACCCTCCACAGTATGTGTGATGTACACGATGCCGACGTACATCGCCAGGAGCAGCAGTCCCAACGGAAGGAAGATCCACTCGGAGCGCGGGGTGTTGGTGAAGAATATCTCGAATAGAGCGAAGACCGAATTCAGCAAGTGAACGGAGATTGCGGACCACGCTGGTTGCCTGATGAGCGGTCCGATCAAGGGATGGGTATCGCAGGCTCACTGTCGTACGAGCTATCGAACGTATGTCCGTTGGAGATCACACCCCAGAAAACCACAGAGACCAGAATCGCTAGCGAAGTAGAAAAAAGCGCCATAAAAATGAGAAAAGCCGGCGATCGAGAACGAGCAACGCACGGAAGACTCTGATTGTCGAAAGCAGCGCGAGGTGCAGGAGCTGTAACGCACGCGGCCAGCGCTGCAGCGGGTACTCCACGTCCACATCCATCCGCGCCTTCATCGTGCCAAGCCTCATCGCATACACGAGCGTTTGTGTTCCCGATGCAAAGAAGTATGCGCACAAGCCCGTATACGATAGATGTGTGAAGTACGAGAAGAACCTGCGTGCGCCAATTGACGATCAATGAGCTGTATGCAGGGCCCCGGAGATGAAACACGCACCCGGTGCCATCCCCGATGAGGCTGACCACCAGCGTGCAGAATGTGTACACTCCGACAGCAAGGCGGACGGTCGCGAGTGCACGCGGGGAGGCGAACGGCGACGTGACCAGCGCGTGGGTGGCATCGAACGGGTCGAGTGTGATGAGGCTCTTCATCGACATGCTGCTGCTTCGACGTGTCGTGTGCGCTGAGGCGGAGAAACGTCGCCTCAAGCGCGCCGGGACGAGAATATCACGAGGAAGGAATGAAAAGAGCGGAAAACAGGAGAAACGATGCTCTGCGCCCAGCGAGAGAAGGAAATAGTGAAAAAGCAGAAGCGGGAAGAAGAAGGTAGGGAGATGGGAAGGCTGTACGAGAGACCGGTATCTACATAGTTAGTGCCGTTTTTTACAGCAGCGGCTGTCCCCGCACTGTTTCCGGATCCGGATTACCTACCGACCGTCAGACAACTGTCATCCACACAGATCCGTGGCGGAAACACATGGCTTGCTTGCTGGGGTATAAATAGGCGGTCCGACGGCGTAAGCAGACACATCCTCTGCGCCATACCGTCTTAGATAATCCTGTGTGTGCCTCTGTGAGCAACTGTCGCTTGGTCAAGCGGGATGTACGTGTGACCATTATTGACCTGTGCTGGGACCACGAGGATACTTGGTCTGTTCGACGCGTCAAATGAAAGCAAAACGGCGTTCGGGGCACATGCATCGTCAGACTTCGCCGTCCATACGCCGATGACATCATTCAAGGCTCCGTTTCACTATCCAAGACCAGAGCTCAACTCTACGGATAAGATCGGAAGATTGGAAAACACAGTATCAGTGGAGCCAGGTTTCAATACCCCCTCGTGTGATTCGTGGGAGTGCTCGTTCAGAAAAAGACACCTGTCCTCCCCTCCTCCCGCACTTCACACAGCACAAGTATCAGTTGCTGCACCCAATCCCAGCGTCCCTTCCACGCACTATCATTCGCCGCAGGGTTCCCAGGATGCAAAATCGGCTCCGTGATCTCTGGTGAAAACCAAAGCTCTTCCAGATTCGGAAACAACGCCGATAAGAACTGAGCTATGTCCGTCGGCGTTGGCTCCGACTCGAGCGGCGACCGGCCCACATCCAGCGTCTTGAGTGGGGAGAACGGCGGTTCGTACTTGAAGCCTGCGAGTGCGTCCGAAAGCACAAGCCCGGCCGTTCGGAGCGGGCGGATGGTGAGGGTGAGCAGCGCAGGGCAGTTCTGCACAACGCAGGCAAGAGACTGGATGTGCGTCTCAGGCACAGCGCAAAATGGGCTCCACGGTTCCAGCGTGAGGGACTCCAGACGCGACCAGCCGGCGGTCGCTTCGCGTAGCTCGGGGCTCGTGAGTGACGGGGGGTCCGGCGTAGTAATGCAGAGGGTGCGTAGTTCCGTGAAGACGATTAGAGGCTCGAGGACGGAGAAGGCGATGCCTTGCGGAGTGGCTGCCGGGGTTTCCGTGACGTACTGGTCGAATTTAACGGTCAATGAGACCAGCGAGTGCCGCCACTCCTCGTTTGCCGCCATGGCTTTCGTCAAGGCGGGCAGATTCGAATGGCCAGGGGACGGTCCAGAGGTCCACGTAAGTTGGAGTACCTCCATTGGTGATCCAGCGCACAGCTCCACGAGTTTCACAGCAAGGTCGATTGTGATCTCTTGAACAGACAGCGCACGCAGGTGCACGAAACTGCACGGCCACTCACTCAGGTCGGTGAAGTCTGCTCCGGGGATGACCGATAGCGTCAGTTTCCTGAGATTCGACACCGCCGCGATAGCCTGGAGCGTCTTCGCATCGAGTAAGGGCACATCCAATCGCTCGAGGTTCCCCAAAGTCCGGAATAAGTGTACCAACGATGTATTCACGCTGTCTGCCGAGAGACGATCCTGCTCGTCGAGATCCACATCCAAAACTACGTCGCGCAGCAGCGGGCACCGGGCAGCAATGATAGGGAGCGCAGAGAAGAAGAGCGCTTGCTGGTCAGCTTGCAGGCAGCGCAACACGAGCGTTCGAAGACGGGGCGAAAGGAGGACATGGAGGTGTGTCATGCCTTGGGACTCGCACCATGATAGCGAGACGAGGTGGGGGAAGAGCAACGACCCTGAGCCTGGAGGCATTGTCATGTGGAGCATCTCCATGCAACGCTGAGTTATTGAAGAGGGCTCCCCCGAATTCAGAGTCAACAGCCGTTTCACCCGCCCCGCATACTTCAGAACGCGGTCCCAGTCGTGTTCTGTGACCGCACGGGCAAATACCTGCTTGTGATGTTGGTTAAGCAAAGCACGGACTAAAATGAGCGCACCAGAGGCCGATTGTACGGCCGTGGTTGGCGTGGACCAGATGCGATAGAAGGCGTGGACCAGATGCGATAGAAGGCATAAGGTCGATCAGGATCTCCTGCAGCGTGTGCAACTCCTCCCACAGAAGATCCAGCGCCAGGTCAGAGAAGCTGCGGCAGGTGTGCGCTAGGACCGTGAGGGTGCGGCGGTCAAACTTCGAAGCATTGCGAGAGAAGTAGGAAAAGATTTCAGAGACAATCTCGGGAACAAGCAAGCAGTGGTGCATGGGTTCCGCAAAGGCACAAGTGACCGTTTCGATGTTTGTAGCCCTAACCCTAGCTCTCGATGTCAGTCACGTGGCCGTCGTCTATTTCCCATATCTCTCAAATGAGCCCTATTTTAGATATTGAATGACCGAGAGAATTCTTGAGCTGGAAGACTCAGGCAATGAAGAACGAGAGCGTCAGGCTACTGTGCTCCACTGATGCCTCGCGGATAACCCATCATCCGAAATTGTAACGCATCTGGATCGCTGTCATTGGGAGCAGCAATTCAGTAGCCCGAGAGGTTGAATGTGTAAGCAAGCAAATTTCACTTTGCGCACACGTGCGAATTCCCACCGCTCTCGACGCACAGGCGGTAACCTCATTCTTGCCTAGAGTCATTTCCCCATCTGATCTTTGCTCTCACTAGTACCTCCCACACATCAAGCTGACTATATATCGGAATTCCAGACATGTGATGTTCATACATCCTTGAAGAATAGAAACAATGTCGTTCCAGTTCACTATAGAAGCATGCATCATGATTTCTGGAGGTGTTTCATACCAAGGAATGTTGCTGTCGAAAGGAGGCAAGCTTGCCTGTGGATCAAACGACTGAGTGTGCTGTCTGACTGACTGACGCACGGCAAAGCAATATGATTGGTCGAGAGAGGCACATGATTTTGATATACTTGCGTCTTTGATAAAGTAAGTAGATGTTGTGCAGATGGCTTCGGTGAAATCTCCAATGTCGTGATCACAGCGTACAAAAATCAAGAATGTATCACGAAGCTGTACTCCGACTTACCCGGATCGAACGGGTGGCATCAAGATAATATGTTACCCATTACAGTCTTGCGCTCTTCCAACTGAGCTAAAGTCGGATACAGTGGGGTGCTCAAGCTGTGTCTAGGACGCTCGAAGGTAAGGACTAAATGCCGCTCCAACCTAGTCTATTGAATACATTTGTTGTACAACCGCGCTCCCTCACGCTACTCTGAACATCTGCTTTATATCCGCAGCTTCGATATCCTTCTACCCGTCATGGTGAGCAACGAACACCTTGATCGAGCGCTGAAAAACTCACTTTCGGGGTCACAACATAATGAGTCGACTCGTCCTCTTTGACTTCATCCATGTCACCCAGCCCGTGCATCTCAAATTGTGAGATCTGCGATCGATTGTCATTCAGCTCAGCGAAGGCGGAGGATCAATGGGCGACTCACGCTGTGGCGAGTGGGCGTCCTGGGACTCTGCGCAGAAGAAGAATGAGTGTGCGTGTGCGTTGTCTGGAGAACGATGGTGGGTTTGATGGCGGCGCGGAAATGTTGCCGTCCGTTCAACCTGGAGCATCATAAATGGTGAGCCATGGCCTCAGAGGAGCGGGAGACTAACGAGGCAAGCATCGAGTTGGAAAACACTGTCCAAAGAAGTGAGCACGCGAGCACGCGATACTCGTTATGGGAGAGGACGTACATTTAGCAAGTACGAGGTAGAATGAGAACCACGCGACTGGAAGAAATGATGTAAGGTCATGGGTCAAGGGCTCATCAGCAGATGTACACACGATCATGTCGTATGGCAAACTATGTTACATAGCATCAACATGTATCCATACTTGAGTGAGAACAGAACGCACGATGACGATAGTCGCAACGCTGGTTCCTCCAGTCAACGTCCCAGCCTCTGGACTAGGGTTAGTCTTCCTTTCTCGCAAAAGATGGAATATAAGCTGCTCACCCAGTGTCCAAACAATCATCGTATCTACCATCTTCTTCGTCCTGCCGATCCACCCGAGCGTCAATCAACACAGTCCCACACATGAACAAGCCAAACACACTCACACAGCTCCGCTCTTCCCCCGCAGCCCATACAAACAATGGCACAACGCCGCTGCGATGATGACGTCAACCGCGACGCCCAGCGATAACGCGACGGTGAGCAGCCACTGGAACTGCCCCTCAAGCTGCGTGATGGTCGCACCGGGGCGGAGCGTCACGGCGAGGATTGCGAGCGTGCAGACCGCGCGCAGGAGCGTGAGGAACCAGCAGATGACCGTGATGGGCCACCGGCCGGTCAGAGCGCGGATGCGGTTCGCGAAGAAGATCTGCCAAATGTTCCGCGGTTGGCACGGGTATATATAGCACGGGCGCTGAAAGTACCTGGACGATGAAGTAGATGGGCGCGGAGAAGAGGATGGTCATCTGTAACGAGTGGGGTGGGGACTCGATGTGCTGCGGTTGCCCGTAAAAGGTCACCGTCAGCGAGTACAGCTGCCGTCCCCGAATTCGATCAGAGCCCCCGCCAGTCAAGAACATTCTCGCGCGCACTCACAGCATGCGACGTCGAGAGCGTATGTCCCAGTTCTAGCATCCACAGCAGCGCGACCTCGAGCACTCGTCAACATCGGAACCGGATCGATACTCTTGCTTGAGCCCACCGTTGCTTTGAGATGAACTTTATCGTTTGGAAACTTGCGGAAAAAGTAGAACGTCTGTAGCGTGCCGATCCCGAACAAGAACATCCCGGCAGTGGCGCCGACCTCGATCGCGCCCAGCGACGAATCGAGCGGCGGGAGCGGGAGTGGATGAGCAGGTGTCGCCATGTCAGAGGAGTGGAGGAACGAGTGAGGGAGGGAGTGAAAGGGAGAGGGAACGTGAAGACGGGATCGTTCTCGGTCTCACATAGACGCCGAACGAATCCTCATACTTATGAGCGCGGTGAATGTGAGAACCGGGTGCACCGGAATGGCAGGGAAGGCGATCGGCCAGGGATAACAGACAGGAAGGATTTGGGCGCGTCAGACTCTTCCATCGTACGTCTGCATAGCCCACCCGTGCGATTAGGGTTGATGGATCCTGTTATGTCAAGCATTCCTTGCTCCTCGGATCGAGCATGAGCGGGCATGACATGGGCAGTGCTCAGAGGGATCTACCTGCCGAGCGACACGCACTCGGATCGTTTCCCGCAATCACCCGTCGAAGGCTCAATTGTCATGATGCAAGCCCGCGAGATGAAACTCGCCCGGTCGTGGTCGGTCTGGCTTCGAACAGGATGTGATTCGTGGTCTGTGACTGATTTGTGACGAGGTGCGAATTGATCAGATCAATGTTGTGAGTAATTGAGATGAGGTACGGTCACTCGAGGCTTCGATCTATTCCCCGTGCTGCCAAGTGCGAGCGGGACACATTGAATGAATACAACTCCCACTCAGGCTGAATGGAAGAATACGACTCGCCACATGCGTCGGGTCGGCTGTGGCCGGCTGTCATCTACGCGCCAACTGGGCCCTGCACCATCAATTCTTTGCGACGCGGTTACTCGGTTCGGCATTTCGCTCTCGGCGGGTATCGGCACTGGACGCAGGGCACGAGGAAACTTCACACTTTGCCTGCCCGGAAAGCCCGGACGGATGGAATGTGAAATCATTATTTGAAAACGGCTGGTATATATACATGTGTATGTGTGTGCGTGTGCGTGTGCACTATGACTATCCAAATCCTGAATTCACATCGAACTTACAGCGTGCATCTAAACATTGCAGGTCTCGCTAATGGCATCCTTCTCTCTCGGAGAATCCGCCGAGGACTGTGACTAAGATTAGGCAATCTTCTTTGGGGGCAGTGAAATCACCAGTTGAAGCATTTCTGACCTCCCGACACTCGGAAGTGCGGCGCTCTTTTCCGCAGCTACCAAGGTGGAGTTTCAGATTTGGAGCTCCAGACATCCCCTCGAAGGGCAGAGAACTGAGCATGGACGAAATAATTGCATCTCTATGCGTCATGCAAGCACTTCTTTGAGATATTGCCAAAAGCATAAAGTTCGGGACCTGTTGTTCAACGTTTTTGGCCTGTCAAATGACTCTAGTCTGATGCCGAGATTCTCATGATGCACAACAGTTCATTGAACTAGCTCTGTGCAATCACATGTCAAAAGTAAGTTCGTGCACCCCTGAACCTGGGCGAATTTGACTCAGACTTGGGATTTTTTCAAGTGGACGGTGCATATGCTTGTTACCCAAGAGCTCGGTTCGACAAAGAACTGCTGGCGCAGCTACTGTTCATGAACCAATGATTACGGTGGATGCCGGCTCCTTTAGATGCTCGCTGCTTTGACCGAAAATCTAATATGTCAAATTGATAAGATGGGGAGATTGATGCCGGTTCGGGGTGTGCCTGGAGCATCTGTTTTCCATGCAGCGAGCCGCTGAGCCGCTGGCTTCAGGGATTATAGTCAACTCGTTCATGACCTTATTCGTTTATTCGGGCGTCATTTCATCAAAGCCAGCTATGTTTCGCGGAAGCGAAAACTCCCAATGGTCCCGGATGTTTCCACAAGTGCAGCGCCACAATACCGATGACAGATCCGCTTGCACTAGTCACCTGATGTCACCGTCACGCTGTGTCCCCGTCTTCAGCCCCTTTGGACTGGCCAGCGCCTCGTGGGGGTCCTATTGTCGCTCCTTCCGCCACGGACCATCTTCTGGCAAAACGACCGGGTACAACGGAGGGACAACGGCCACACGTCGGGAGATTGCTACCGCTGGACGTTTATGCCACCAGCACAGGTCGACGCACGCACACGCACACGCCTGACCGCAGAAGCAGCGCATTCTGCTATCTTGCCAGCTCGAAGCAGCGGGCATATACACGTATACGCGCTCACGACCCCGACATCTCCACCGTCCGCCTTCGCTTCTGACTCGAATCCCCGTCCTCGTTCATGGGCCAAAGCTCTTCGAGAGCGAAAGATCCGACGCGCTCTCCGCCGCCCAACTCGACCTCCGCGGTGCGCGCGCGCTCGGACCTCATCGACCGCCAAATCGCGCTTGACTCGAAGCGGTACAAGAAGGAATGCAAGATCTTGCTGCTCGGGTCGGGCGAGTCCGGCAAGTCGACGATTGTGAAGCAGATGAAGATCATCCACCAGGAAGGCTTCGACGAGCGCGAGCGGCGTGAGTTCCGTGCCATTGTGTATAGGAACGTGTTGGATAGTGTGCGCACGCTGGCGCGGGTCGTGCGGCGAGTTGGAGTGGATGCGTTTGCTATGGTGGATATGGCGTTGGGTGAGGGCCAGAGGGACGGCGGTGGTGACGGAAGGGTTTGGGCAGAGATGATACTGGATGCTTTTCCAGCTCCAGCCGACTTCGATGCGTTATATCATGGCGAAGACGAAGCGTCTACTGTTGGGCACGGCTCGCTTGACGTGGGCATCGATCCTATACCCTGGACACGGAATGACGAGGAGCGACGGCCATCCGCAGCGGAAATGATACTGGGACGAAGGCCTTCGTCAACTGACGTTGTGCCCGCCGATGCCGCCGAAGTCTTCGCACAGACGCACGCAGTGCTGACGCCTCTGCTGGCAGATGCGATACATTACATCGCACGACACCCGGTCGTAGAGAAGGTGGTGGACGAGAACCCGGCCGATTTCTATCTCATGGACAGCGCCACTTAGTACGTGTGTTACTCGCTGCATGCTGTCACTACTGACGCTCATTCCCAGCTTCTTTTCCTCGATCCACAGAATAGCACAAGCTACATACGTACCTTCAGAAGAAGATGTGCTCAGGGCTAGGCTGAAGAGTACTGCTATCATTGAGACCCGGTTCATGATGGGTGACCTATCGTGAGCGCTGTTCTGTGCGAGTGTTTGGCCCCCTTCTGACCATGCTCAGGATACACATGTTTGACGTCGGTGGACAACGTTCTGAACGGAAAAAGTGGATTCACTGCTTTGAAAGGTCCGTACAGCGGCTCGTAGTCGCACCACGGAATCTCATTTCGTGACAGCGTCACCAGCATCATTTTCTGCACAGCACTGAGCGAATACGACCAGGTTCTAGAGGAAGAACGTCGGGTGGTGAGTCTATGCACTGCCCCCATCATGCACTCTCATCTTGCATAGAACCGCATGCACGAATCGCTATACCTCTTCGAGTCTGTGATCAACTCACGCTGGTTCCTGCGCACCAGCGTGATCCTGTTCCTAAACAAAATCGACGTCTTCAAACGCAAGCTGCCGAAGATACCCCTGGGACGGTACTTCCCTGAATATGCGGGCGGCAACGACCTTCAGAAAGCTGCCAAGTACATTCTCTGGAAGTTCATGCAAGAGAACCGGGCGAAGCTCACGGTCTACCCACAGTGCGTGTCGCCGGCACAAGATGTTATCTATACTTATCGGATGCCCAGTGTTACACAAGCAACGAATACGAAGAACATCCGGCTCGTCTTCGTCGCTGTGAAAGAAACTATCCTCCAAAACGCACTCAAGGACTCGGGCATCTTATAACGAGCTTGACACCCACTTGACAACGCTCATATGCGGATCCCCACACCAGGGGTAGTTCTACCGGGCATGCCACCAGCAATTGCCCCTCTCGATCTGAGCACGACCGGTTTTCGATGCCGGTCAGAGCCCCCGTGCCCTCTTATCGGTCTGGATGCTACTGCAACCAACAGCTGCCCCCAAAAGCCATTCGCCATCCACCACCATACCTATCTTATATCCGGATATCTCACCACTTATCGCCACGCGTGTGGGCATGCCTCCGTGCTTGCTTCCGTCGTACTTAGACTTTTGCTCCTCGATTACTCATTAGGGATACTTACTATCATGCGGTTCACTGTCCCTGCGCTCAGCAGTTGGATATCTTCTCTTGTGTATGTTGTATGTATCATTTAGAGAATCTGATGGTCTGCACACTATCCTCCTCCTGTCACTTACTTGTGCCGCTCCTGCTACTTCCTGGCCAGGGTTACCGAGATACCGAGCCTGCTTTCTCCCTCGCTCTGTGGCCTAATCGCTACAAGATGTTGGCAGAATCAGTGACTCGTAATCACCCCACCCACCATCATGTACGAACTACCGGCATCTTGAAGCACATTTCGGACAACAAACCAGATGAACGCCGTTCGAGGGTCATCACAGTCCCTTGTGCCATGTGAGATGAACTCTTGTGAATTTCATGATCCAGAATACGGACGACTGTAGTGCAAGATTCTTGAGTCATATCGAGGAATCGCTTTTTCGGCCTCAGCGCGGAGACTATAATGGAGCCCTGTCATCCTTCGTCTGCGAATTTACCTCCATCGAGCGTTCCGTAAGCACATCTCTGTAAGACTGAAGATTATATTGCTTAGAACAATACTCATAGGGTTTCGAAGCCCGAGTTCAAAGTGCTGGAGATTGGGGTCCAGAGGAAGAGGACTTTGTTGAAGCTTTAGCTTCAGGCGATTTGGTAGAATTATAACATGCTATGCGATCGTAAAGACTCCTGGAGATTGCCAGCCAGCCAGCCTATGGGGTTCTAATACATGATTTCTCCCGTGGAGCTAAGCTGCCGCAGTAATAGGTGAGAAGATGAGTTAAGACGTGGTAGTGTGAAGTTTCATCTATCTGTTGGTCACGAGAAGGGGTGTGATGTTCCAGATCGCACTTTGACACTTCATAGCATGTGTGTGGCATGGATAAAACAGAGAACTTTCATCACATCGATTGGCACGTGGACTGACGATAAGATAACCGGCAGGCCAGTCGCGGTGCCCTACATACCATACCAGGTCTCGCTCCCTCGCTCATGCTGCGCGTTCATCCGTATGAAAAGGTCATCGACGTCAAGTAATACAAATCGAAAGTAATGGTAGGCTCATTAACGTTATACATCCATCGTGGTACTCGTACATTTTCGTCTCATGCATGAAATCACACAACGACTTTCTCGTTGTGCTCGTCCTCAGCCTTCTCCTCGAGATCGCGCGCGACGGGGGAGGGCGTCGCGTCACCTGCGATGTAGGCGTTGTCCTCGGCGCCGCCCTCGTCGAATGCGGCGCGGTGTTTCTCGAACGCAGAGGAGTGGTTCCTGCGATGTGCGTGTGAGCAGACTGTACACAGTGGACAGGGAGTGGGACAACGCACTCAGGCCCGATGATGGTGACTGAGATCAGGAAAGCGGCGACGGCGCCAATGAGGATGGCCTGAACCTTGGCATAGTCTGGCACGACCACACCCTTGATATTCGTCTTCAGGTGATCACCCCCAGCTGACCCGCCGATGTCAGAAAACAGGAATGTGAACGCTCATGGACGGAATGATTACGTACTCGCTTCGATCTGGGCACTGGCAGACGAGATCATGTTGCCCATCTGGTACGCGACACCCGGGAACGTCGCGCGGAACGCCGGGGGAGCCATCTCGGCGAGGTGGATGGGCACGATACCCCACGCGCCCTGAACACCGAATTGCACGCAGAACGCGCCCGCAGCGAGCCCGTGGAAGTCGTTTGGCAGAATCCACAGCGGGATGAAGACGGCGGTGAGCAGGACAAAGGTGCTATCAGGGGATATACGATCAGCTGACGAACAGAGATCGGGACTTGCGGCCGACGACTCACACGATGGTTATCCGACGTCCGAGGAACTGCGACAGCCATCCCGCGACCCCACCTCCAGCGACCGCACCACAGTTTCCGATGATAGTCGCAATCGTGGCCAAGTGAGGGCTGAAGCCCTTGGTCTTCTGCATGTAGGTCGGGTACAGATCCTGCGAGCCGTGCGAGAGGAAGTTGAATCCAGTCATGAGTAGGACGGCGTAGATGCACAGGAGCCAGTGCGTCTTCAGCATCTGCTTTGTCTCGCGCAGGAACATCCTCGTCTTCTGGCTTTCAGACACCACACCGTGCGATTCGGCTGCTGCGCGCGCCTTCGCGAACACCGGGCTCTCGGGGAGCAACACTCGCAGGAAGGCGCCGAACATCGAGATACCAGCGGCGGTCCAGAACAACGCGCGCCAGCCGACGGAGACGGAGGGGACTAGCTGCAAGGAGATGACTGCGGAGATCTACCGAACAAACGCGGTCAGCCGGGCGAAGACATTGGATCAGTGTGTGCTACGCACAAGATAGCCAACCGCGTATCCCTGCTGCATGACGCCGCTAGCGAGACCACGGATCTCGACGGGGACGTTCTCGAGCGAGGTGGCCGACGCGAGACCCCAGATACCGCCCATCCCGATACCTATCGACGCCGACGTCAATTAACATGCTGTCGACTAAGGATATAGTTCAGGAACTGCGTACCGAAAAGAGCGCGGACCGCGAGGAACTGCCGGAACGTCTGCGTGAAGCCCGCACCCAATTGGAGGATGGAAATCAGGACCAGATTGAACACCAGTGGCCACTTGCGCCCGAACCGGTCACTGAAGACGCCGAACAGCACAGCGCCGACGGAGCGGAAGAGCAGCGTGAGAGTGATGGCTTGCGTCTGCATTAGCCGCGTGTCAGCAGATGCAATAACGAGCGGCGAGGGAAGAACGCACGATCTTCGTTGTTGGCCTGTTGAATGTCTTCGAGAGCTCCGGGACACTGAGACTGACGGTGAAGAAATCGATTCCGTCGCATGTCCATGCGAGCCAGCCGACCCAGAAAAACGCCCACTGCATCGGCGTCAGGGCGGCGAGCTGCTTGTACAGTGGCTCTGAGCGCCGAGCAGGGCGCGGGGGGAGGCGGAGGGGCGTGAAGAACGTGCGCTGGTCAGACATGGTCGTTCGTGGATCTGAGTGACAAGGAGGCAGCAGCAGTCAGTCTCCGTCCTGCATGGTGCCGCACAGTGTCTGCCGACCGAGTAAGCAAACAAAACTCACTAGTTCTGAGCGGTGATCAGGGAGGATCAGAACCACGAAGAGCGATGTGGGGGGAGGGTGAGAAGCGGAAGGCACCACAATCTAACCAGTGCCGCCCTGCTGACCTTTTTATATGCCATCCGCTTAGCGCAGGGACTTATCCCCTTGAAGTTTCGTCGTCTATTTTATGCTTTTGATGATCAAAATTTCACGGATGAATATTGACACCGCGGTGTCGCCGGATTTCCAGTGGCAGACTGACCTTATCCTCATCCTCACCCCCGCCCGACTTCGCCTCCACCTCCATCCTCGTTCTTCTGTCCACAAATCGGACTCAAGTTCCGGTCCACCCCTGATTGCCTGCGCGGGCGATAGCGCGGCCCGTTGAACGTGTTGACACATTACACACTCGCTTGATCTCGTTTGTCAGAGGCGATGAAGGGGGAACGCGGGGCCCCACGATCCCCGCAGCCAAGCCGGGCGCCGGGGGAGAAGTTCCCTGCGTGCCTGGAATGGTCCCACGTCTGTTCGCACGTAGGGACTGGGGTGCAGACCGAAAGTCATCGTAGTGCGCGCCCTCCCCAGGGTGAGTGAGTCGTTGTCGCGATTTAAAAATAGCACACTCTCCGTCTTACGTAGATATCTACCGAACGACTTCCACGTAACGTGGAGGCTCTCCATAAATCACACATCTTTTGCCCATCACTCCCGGCTCTCAAACACGCTGACTCGGAGCTCGGCATGATAACATGCAAATTCGGAACCCGGATCCGGGGTTGCGAAGATGCCGTTACCACGTAGACGTGAGAGGGTCATATTATCTGAATTAGAGAAGCTGCTGCATGATCTCCGTGACCCTGTGGTTGCTGGAGACCGTCCAAGCCAAGCATTGAGAGAGCCTCCTGACCGCACCGATCGATGCGCAAAACAGTCCCAACTCTCACCGTCGCTGTATGCAAGGACACATTGCAGTATCTTGTCTATCAACGCTGCACGCCAGAAGCATCCTCTATCCGCATGTCGTAATCTTCCCCGATCACCACCGTGCTTCGAAATAACAGAAAAGCATGCATCGAAGACAGGTTCGACTGATCCACGAAGAGACGCCTTCATGGGAACACATTGGCGCCGCCCGTATCTCCTCGATCACAAGAAAAACGGGTTGGCCCTACCCCTGTCTCGCTTGGAGATTCGGACCGGTCGTTTCGGACTTGATCGGTCTTGTCTCGTCGGCGGTCCGGCGGTCCGGTTTCTGTTGTTGAAGTTTAAACGACTCAGAGAGGGCTTTCTCAGAGGTGTGCTTGAAGATCTAATACATGGAGGTGATTCAGGAGCTCTTGAGCTCTGAGACTCTCGTCGGGGATGCCGCAGACACCTTGTCTCGCAACTGAATCCTCTCGATGTATGTTTTCGCAGCAGATCCCAAGATATTTTTTGGGAGTATGGAAAACCGTGAGCCACCAGGAACCCGGGAAGAGCTAGTTCAGAATCTTTTGCGGATCATGATATTTTACTTCAGAGACATGTAAATTTCCCAGTAACTAGAGTCGCAGATCGAGCTCAACAGCCTCGGGGATTGTCCGATTTCACTCTTTCTGTGATCTGAGCCTGATCGAATGTATATACGCCAGCCATAATCAAAGTCAGGGATTTTCCATGGTATTCCAGTCAAATCTGTACATCCTGGCTATGCAGTTGAAGGGGGTCTCAGCATATTCCAACTCAGCGAGTATGCGGTGCCGCTACACTGAAGCGATTTCATTAGTTCAATCCCGATCCGAAGGTCCCTCTGTTGCGTTTCCATCTTTAAGCTTTCGCTCAACGACAAGATATGCATACAGCATGGGTCCCAGTCGAAGTCTTCGAGTTGCTCGCAAAAACACGTGCCTGAGAGACGCACTGATCCGGCATCACTCTTCGTCGGGTCCCGCCCGTCGTGCGCGCAAATCCGGAGAGAATACCGGTGGATGAGCCAAGACTCAAATTTCGGCAGGAGACCATAGTGCTAATTTGATGTGCACTGCTTCCAAGAGACATCTGTCGGAATTGTTCGCAAGCGACACACGGGATATAATGGCGGAAAATCTCATAAGTTTTCATCATAAGCGACCGACAGTGCTGCGCCTTGATCCGTTCGACACACACACGCAAAAAAGGAAACTGTGGAGATTTTTTTTTAGCAGCTAAGTTGAATCTAGTTCTTTTAAAAACCTGCCGAAACGAGCCTTTCGTGTTCGCCTCAGCCAATTCCGGGCAAGACATTTGTCATTGGCCTCGAGCTTTCTAAAGTGATAAAACACAAAGGAATGCATGAGCGCATAATGGCTGTCCGCGACGCATACTAGACTGTCTCGATGTCGTTTGGAAGGGCGCACAGAGATCGTGTTGATCGGTCACGTGAACATAAACTGCTGGGCTGCAAATCAGCAATTCGAACCATGAGCTTAACAAATACAAGTAATTTAATGCCTAAAGTTCCAGACCAGCTCAAGTGATGCTACTTGAACGAAGCTTGGGATCTTGCCCTGCTCATATTTGACTGCTCTGCAAACCCTACGGCGGTGATCGGAAGAAAGAATCTTCTGATTGACCGTCTATTTCCCACGTGCCATTGTGTTCCTTTCTCTTACGATGATGAAGCCAGACGTCCTCGCCGTTCAGGTCACTTCTAACAAGGAAGGAAAGCCCCCCTCCGCTGTCTATTCGCTTCCTCCTGAGATCTTGGCGGAGATATTCATCGCCTGTGTACCGTCTGTGCGGGAGGAGATACATCGAAGGCGAATCGATTACGACTCGGCTCCGTGGGTCCTCGTTCGTGTGTGTCGGCGCTGGAGGCACGTCGCGTTGGAGACTCCGCCCCTCTGGTCACAGATTGTCATCCATGAAGGCAACCCTCCGATGCCCCTGCAGTACGAGCGCGGCGGATACTATTCGACGCAGGCCTCGCGTGAAGCGCTGACGACTCTAAACCCACTCCCAGCCCTGCAATTCCTGGCCGAGAGGGGGACCCGGTTCCGCATCCGAGCGCGGTTCAGCCCCGATCGATGGCCTGCGCAGGCCTTCTTGCACGATGGCCAGAGGGCAGTGTTCGACGCCGTATGCGGATTATTCTCGCGCTGGGGCGACGTGTCCCTCGAAATATGCCCAGAGCTGGTCTATCGCCTGCTCGAACTGCGCGGCCCGGCTCCACTTCTCACGAGACTGCATCTTCGCATTGAGGATCTGATGGACGATGACGTCGACGAGGCTGCAGCCCGGACGGAGCGCGAGATCGCCCGGGTTTTCGAGCCCGCTACGGCGCTCCGGAATTTGAGTGTTTTGTGCTGGACGATCTACCCGCCGATTGGAATCGCACACGGGCACCGCCTGACGCGCTACCAAGCCCAGGGAACTTGGAAGCAACATGAGCCGATCGTGCAGCTCCTCATCAACGTGGTCGAGCTGTCGTTGGATGTGACTGAGCCGCCGATGGATCCGCCGCACACTGTCATCTTTCTTCCAAAGTTGAAACGCCTGCACCTCTCGACTTGGGCGTGCCTCGACCACATCACTACACCGGCTCTGGCGGCGCTTTCTCTCGGACACAACTACTCGCCTGCTGACGCACCGCAACTGTTATCGCTCGTCGCGCGGTCTGAGTGTTCGGAATCACTGCACTCCGTCTCGACCTCTTTCCCAAGTCTCAACGACATGGAAGTGCTCGCCTGCCTCCCGCACGTCACGCACCTCGGCTTCGTCTTCCCCAAAGTTGACATCGGTTTCATCCTCCCTACCTGCCGGTTCCTGCACGTCCGAGAAGCAGATGCGGCGGGGCCCGTATTGCCAGCCATGACTTCACTCCTCGTGAGCTGGCCGTACGATGCGGTCCATGCTCCCATCATCGCAGCAATCGAGTCAAGGTGGCGCTCGCCGCACTGTCATCTCCGAAGCGTCGTGCTGCTTTATACCGCCGAACGCGCCATGCCCGACGAAGTACGGGAGGCTCTGGAGACTTTGCGCTCAGAGGGGCTCGATTTGCGGCTGATTTTCGGGGAGAGTGCTCGTGAAATGACGCTACAGTTGGCCTTTATCGAAGTGTTCCCGTAGAAGGCATCTGGACAAGCAACGGAACGTAGGTTAATCACACATTTTCCTGATCTCCGAAACGTTCGATGCGGCAGAGAAGGAAACTGCATGGATGACCAGGCTTTGTATGGGCGGACGCGGGTCTTCGTCGTGCCAGTGAGTACTTCAAGGCTTTATCTGCGCAAGGTTTCAGACATTTTCTGAGCAGAAAAATATGAGAGGAGATATGACATTTGCAAGCCAAGTACAAAAGAAATGTCCGACTGTAATCGAACGCCAGTGAGATACTAGTTCATTCCCTACCGTCAAAACCGAATATACTTGATTTTCACCTAAGCCAAGGCAAAACGCGATACTCTGCTTTGTGGGAGCCCTGTGTAAGACCTGGAGTGCGTGTGATGACATGGGCAAGCATCAAATAAATGAATCATCGCGCGACAGTAGGACTCCAGATGTTTGGTTTCCACCTCATGTAAGACAATGAGTGCGATTTTTCTCATTGAAGATGATCTGTGTGTCTGCTTCAAACCCTGAATGTTAATAGCAACTCGCCACAGACTCGGGATGAGTCTTGGATGTACAGACGAGTCGGCGGGTACACAGTTGTAGAGCAGCTGTCCTTGAATGAAATTCTCGAACTTGATATCTCTCGTAAGTACCTCGGGGTTCAATCTTTGAAACGGTGTCCAGCCACGGGGAACTGGGCTTCGTCGCAATCGTGGAAATACCAGAAAAATTCCATGACTGGCGGGTGTAAGGCTGCCTAGTCGCAGAAGATCGATACACCGCGGTCAGTGAAATACTCAACGCGCCAAAGTTCTAGGAGTGAAAATCCATTGTCCGTCAAAAAGTCACTTTAACGCGTTCGGAAACACACAGTGGGCGTGTCCATGGATGAAGCGATCCAGGCCCCGATCACACAAACGGCCAGGAGAGCACACAGGTGACGATATGCTTGTGATCGATAGCCGGAGCAGGGCGAGAAGTGGGATGCGCGGGTGTGGGCAGTTTCGAGCCGGCGGCGAAATTGCTAACTGGGCTCGACGGCTCCGGCTCGGCGCTGCCCATTGCCGGTGATGATGCAGCCGAAACTGCCGTGGGCGGTGGCACCTCGGTAGAGAGTGATCCTTCTCCTCGTTTATATCGGGAATAGCTACGCCGCCGCCACCGATGATCCCCTCCCAATGTACGACCACCTCCTCCTCGCTGACACCGAGCTCCCAGTCCAGCACCGCCAGAAACTCGCGCTCGATTAACCCCACGTCAGCTGTGCCGAAGACGCCGCTGATGAGCGCCCAGTGCACGTTCTGCAGCGTATTGTCCTGGGTGTACTTGCTCGCGGTCATCAACGCACCGAGGAACAGGCGCTCGGCTGCTCCGTGCCGGTAGGAGATCGCGAGGTGCGTGCGGGAGCGTGCGATGTACACCAGCGCAACCAGAAGAGTGGATGCCCTCGCTTCGGCGCGCTTGATCGTGAGGGCTATGAAGTCAGCGAGGCGCGTGGTGCAGCGGCCTGATCGGCCCCGCGTGGGCTCGGCGTGTTTGGGGTCATCGCAGCCTAGAGCGAAGTCAACGACCTCGGCGACGTATTCTGCGATGTAGTCTAGTTGAGAGTGTGTCAATAATGGGAAAAAGAAAGTTCCTGCGGGGAACCGACGCACCGAGGAAAGCATGTGAAACAGGTGCGTCAATAAGCTGCAACAAGGCAGAAGAGTGCAGTTGTGTATCAACCAGGGATGCGGGGTGGATGGGCGAGCTCGACGAAGACGAGGACGAGGACGCCGGTGACCACAAGGAATAATCATGTCCGCAGCTGACTGACATAGCGATTCACCTTCAATCTCTGCGCAAGCAGAGAGAGATAAACATTGAATTATAGGCCGCTCGGTCATTCAAAATACGACGGGCCCGGCGGATTCGGACTGGACACGATTGCTTATTGCTGAGTGCGGGGCGGAGACGGAGTTGACTAGTCATGAACCGGCAACTGTCCGCTTCCACTCTCACGACCTTCAAGCACAGCTCTACACCGGTTTATTTCCCTGACTAAGGATGATATGGGTTGTGTGCTACATGCACTGTCCAAACAAACGATGGTACATTTCCGTCTCCCCTGCAAAAGTTGGCACTGGTTTCAGCGAGCAGAGTGGTGGGATCGTGAGGCCCTCGTGTCCTCGATCGGCACACCGCGTGTGAAATCCGCTGGATTCCGTTGGTATTCACGGCCAGGTTCGGGGATGGCACAACAACTGGATCGCTGAGAACTTTGATCATTTCCTGCTGCGCATGTTCAACGCGATAGAGTGAAGGATGACTTTTATCCGGTTTCCCAGCACAGATTCTTGCTGATCGAAGTGTGACCGCACGCGTTCGGCGAGGCCCCCGGCTACTCCGCCGGAATAGTACAGATCGCCGGGGCACGCGGTCATATGGCCGCGAATCGGGCTGGGAACAGGAAATCTTGGGCGGAGAGGCGGAGAAATCGCAGGGCAAGCCAGGGAACTTTGGGGAGTTGTCCCCCTCTTTGAGAGTCAAACACGATCAGGAGCATGTCATTCCCCCTCCTCGATCTCTCCGGTTTTGCAGAACGCGCTGCAGGCAGAGAGAGTGGACCAAGGTGGACGTAACCCCGCACACAATGCTATAAAAAGCTCTGAATCCATCTTGATTTGGGCAGACTTCAGTCCGATCCCGTGCCAATCAAGGGTGCGACAGCTGACTCGCAAGTGCAAATCCTCCTTTTGGGGTGAATTGCTCTATGAGGGAGTTGCCGGGGGGCCTGTTCCGTGCCTCCAGTCCGTCCCACGGAATATCACATGTTCATGTGCCCCGGTTTCGAACAGAAGGGCGTCACCCCAATGCACCTAACCCCCTGAAAATGACCTCGTGTTAAACAGGATAGTAAACTGGGGCCGTTTAATCCGACTGGAAATAAGAAATGTACCGCGCGGACCGTCATGGGATCCCAATTCATCGCACAGCTCCCCTTATAGATATCTCTTCAACAGTCTTCAACCCATCGCGCCGTCTTCGAAGATCACAAGCCTGACGTCATGGTCCTGGGCTTGCACTGTGATATCGCCGCACGACAGGATGTCGATCGGAGGGAACAACCTGTGTCACATTACTCCCCCCCCCTCAGACTTCTCGCTCACTCTTCGCCTGTCATTTATAGCACTGGTATTTATGGACTCGTGGTCCGAACACTTGAAGTTGGCGTTTTCAAATTCAAATACATCCATTCAAGCGTCGTCTATCAGGGGCTCATTTCGATACCTCTAACCGGTTTGTTGGAGAAACGATGAGAGCCTGTTTCATCCTCACTACGGCAAACGCGAACGCTTGCGAAGATTCGCACAGTGAGACGCTACGTGTTTCGCAGGCATGGCATTGGATTGTTTTTCCGACGAGCCAAAATGGATCCTCAACCACTGAGAATTGAAAAAAACAGAACGTTTATGTTCTGGTGAGTACAAGTTTTGAGTGAGGATGACGGGTATGCTAATAAGGCGAGGTATGCACTGATGTTCTTCGGGTAAATATCGTGATCGAGACCGACGTTTTGGGCATGCCAAACTGGCATTGGCCCGCGCAAACGGGCATTTGATGGGCATTTGACAGTTTTGGCTTGAAATTGATGCGATCAGGCATGCATGCCCGTTTGTCGGCATGCCAAGCCGACATTTTGGCATGCGCTCAGCCAAGTATAATTGCTTTTCTTCAAGTCTTTAGCCGTCCAGGATATATACTGACTGTTCCTAGGCTCTTAGGAAGCTCCATATGGGACTCGGAACCAATTGTTCCTATCATAACAGACCCCAGCATTGTTGGATGCGACATCGCGTGGTGTCAAGCCTGTAATGTCGCTCATAACGTGCAAGCCATCGGGCTTTTCATCATATTCTTATTTTATTCATTGCATCCTTCCGATGTGCAATGGTCAACACTTTCTCCATCGTGCTGTTTACCAATTTCCCGAGATGAATTGAGATATATTTTGTTCATTGCTAAGCACAAACCTTCCTAATGTCTTCCCATGACTTTGCGAACATCGAATCGTAATAGATCACACTGCAGATGATCCTCCGCGATCTTGAGGCTGTCTGTCAACGCGCATGCCACTACCTTGATCGCATGATATCACATTAAAGCGGCGCGATCTTGATTCCCTCGCCTCGTTCACTCTGAGGTTGGTTCTTAGAGACAGCGACTTGAAGATAAAGCGAAACTGGATTGCTAAATGGACGAATCATCTTTGGGGGTTATGATCTTTACCTCCCAAGTCTTAATCAAGCCCGTGGTCCGACGGAGTCATGGCGGTGACGTTGAGCTCATGTTTCAGGAAGGAGAACGTGAGGTTGAGTACTGGGATACTGATTATGCGAACTAGAGCCCTCAACGCCGCAAAATCTGAGTTCTAGGAGCATTCCGTGGTGTCCGAGGGTGGTGGCGGCGATGGCGACTTACCACTGAGCATCTCGGATATTCAGATGTTGTGCCCTTATGCTGTAAGCGATATCGACGACGGGGAGCGCTGCCGCTATCAACGACGAGAGCTCAGGGAAGAAACTGGTCTCAGAAAATGGGCACAAGCCATGCCCATGCCCATGCCCGCCATCAAAAGCCCGCTGAGCCAAATTCAAACTCCGCTTGGCGCGACATGCCCGTTTGCCGCGCCCATGTGATAAGTCTGTATCGTGATCGTATACATTAGATTTTGTTTTATATATCCACGAAGGCGCACGAGAAAACACGTTCGAGACTATGACGAGAAGCGGGCGCCGCGCGAGCCTGGACCGCGAGCACGTATGGAGGTGGCCGGAGAATCATCATCGTGAACCTTCCTGCGCTTGATGGGCGGCCCGAACAAGCTGGGGGATTCTAGATCCGACCTGGGCGACTCCGAGAGTGCTTTCCGGACATGCGGCTGGATGAAGAAGACAGGCAGCCCCGTCGGTGCGGAGCAGGCTGCGCGTGCGCTTAGCTCGGCGAGATCCACGTCCAGAGCGTTTCTGGCCTTCTCGTCGTCCATTTCGGGGTGCGAGTCGTCGGCCGCGGGGTCCTCGTTGGGCGAGGCTAGTGAGGATGCACACAACTCGGCCTCCAGCTCCTTCCATTTCGGGCAGGACCTGCACGGCGTATGTCAGTCAATACAGTAACGGGCGAAGGAAGCGGCTCGGCGAGGGGGGAAGGCATCCGAAGCCGACGGAGACGCAACGCACATGATGTCCCGCAAACGACCCTTCAGAAGCTCGCAGCAATTGCTCGCGACGTCGCGCTCCGCGCGCATGCGCACGGCGTTCTCTTTCGCTACGCGTGCGAAGCTGAGAAGGCCCGCGTTCGCCGCGGCGTGCACCTCCGCGCGTCGCTTCCACGTCGTCGCGTTCAGGCGCAGAGCATCCGCTTCGGCGGCGGCGCGGCCCAGTGCACTGGAGAGCTGGGCTGGTAGGGCCGACATGCAGAGCGCTGGGCGCGACGCGGAGCTGGACGATGCGAAGGCGGAAGAAGAGGGGAAGGTGGCGGAGGAGGAGGATGAAGAGCAGGCGGGACGGGGTGAGGGGTGGTCGAAAAAAACGGGGCGGATCGAGGGGAGCGTGTGTGGGCGTAGGTATGGTGGGATAAGCGCGGGGTCGATGCCGACTGGAATATGACAGCAGATAGATCAGCTGGGAAGCGGAGGGGGCGCGAACGGGGGTGCGCACCGACACTATAAGGTGTACGACACGTCGGGCAGAAATGTTCGACACTGCACAGCTTGATCGCGTCCACCGTGCGTCGTACGCATTCACGGCAAAAGATGTGGCCTGGCCAGAGCGGAAGCAGTCAGACTTCGAACCGGTGGGACAAAAAAGGAAGGGGGAGGCGCACCACAGGGAAGCGCCACGGGGGCGGTATACTCATCGTAGCAGATGCTGCAGGGCATGGTAGCGGAGGGGATGATGAAACACGAAAGCTTGAAATGCTGATGTGGCCGGGTCGGACATTTACCCACCAAGCAGGAACGTTTTATACACCCGCATGGAACGAATCCAGGACCGGACGAAACAGGAAGGAAGTGGGCGAGGGCATCGGAAGTCTCACGAGTCACGTACGCGCCTCTTCCAGCACGGCTTAGGCCATGGGCTCGGGCACAGCCCCGGCAAGCCTGGACTGCGCATAGGCAGCCGGGGTTAGGGTCAACGGACCGGATCAGACAGCGGAATGGAGCTCGCGATGGTGACATTCATCCACCGACTGCGGACTGCGGACTGGCGTTGATTCTGCAAGCTCGATCCCCGCCCAGTGTTAATGTCGCGGTGTTTGTGAATGGAAGACTGAATGTCTCCCGATGGGCCTGTCTGTTCATCAAGCAAGCTGAAGCATTCGTCATTTACCATGCCACAGCGCGAAAAAGCAGGGACCTCGATGCATCTACCGACGGCGATTTGTCAACGTGACACGCAAGCGGTCTGGCATCCAGCTCATCGATCGGCGCAGACTGCATGCACCTACTCCCAACGCGGCCTTATGATGCCCGTCACGGCCGTAAGTTTCTTAACGCCTCTCAAAAGGTTTCCCATCTCGGCCGAGACGACCCTATTTCACGCCCCGGCGAAAAAATAACTTGACGATCCCTAGGATGAAGTAAACGAGAACCTTGCGGCTATTAGAAGTCCGGGCCCTAGTATAGACGTAGAAACAGAAGCGGACTCCGGGTCTTCGAACTTGTCGTCGATCTCGCGGGCAGAAGCCATCCGTACCCAGATCCGTCATTATGGCTCTGATCGGCTTGAATGCGTTTTATTCATACTCTGACAAATATTTATATCTTGTTCGTTTTATCGCCGTTTAGATCTCAATATAAATAGCGAACACCCACCGCGATCCCTGCCAGTTTATAACTGTTCACGTGAAGCACACCGTCCATCGCCTGCGCGGCGCATACGATATCCGGGCCTTGCGCGAAGTGAGACAGCTGACCCGGAGCGTGATAGATATTCCCCTGGTCCGACAGAGGTCTATTCCGAAAGGCAGGCTTGAACGTGTTCGCGGGAACAGATCGATCAGTAAAGATGCGAGGAGACAATATTACAATCAATGGGTGGATGACGCACCTCGTTTTTTTTTCTTATGAGTCAGGACCAAGGCTCTAAATTTTTATTGCGTTGAACCGAGCCAGTCAAGTCTAGCATCGGTTTTCCAACCAGGATCACATAAGTCAAAATGGGGTCACGACTTCTCGGAGCTCGAATCGATTGCGACCGGTTAAATAAATCCGGGATGACTAGTGGTTCCCGTCAAAATGTCCTGGAGAGATAAGTAACCGGAAGAGTTTTTCACTGGGGACTACCGGCCCACGACTTGTACGCTCTGGAAAAATTTTCTCGAGCACTGTTGCGACCCATCTGCTATCTGAATAGAAATTTATAAACTGATCAAAAACTCTCCATGGCTGCGTGCAGATGCACTTCCACATATCAACCCATTCCGACAGCAGCAACAACACATTCTTGGCATGGCTCTGCATTCAATCGAACTCTGCAGAGCGTCATACGGCACGCCAGGAGCACATGCTCAGCGGGGTCGTCGCGACGCCCAGAGCCTGCAGCAAGCCGCGGCGCAATCCCAATGTCGCTCTCCCGCGCTGCTATCTCCGGTGCGGGAAGAGGCTGGACGGGCCTAGTTTGATTCTTACAGGGGATGCATGCGGATCGTGGTTTCCTCCATGGAAGACATGCGGAACGCGAATCCGTGGGGTTCGGCCGCGACATCCGGACGAATACCGCGCACAAGTCTTATCGCTATGGGTTACGAGAGCGTCCGAACACTTGGACGCGCAGTTTTTTTCCGTATTAAATTCTCATTAGCAGTGCGCTGCGCTGTGCATTCCATTCTGCATGTTAGGACGCACAGGAAAACCCAACTGTGATGTTGATCCAAACGCCAGCCACGACGTGATCCGATCACGTGGTACTGCTCACACTTTCGGCATCGCCTGTGTCCAAGCCACTTCCTTTTCTCCCGCGCCTTCGACGAGCGAATTGCTGACGTGCAGCGCCGACACCAGTGGATCGAAATGCACGCCTCTTCTGATACTGGAATGGGAGAGACAACTCCATCCGCCCCCCCTGCACGTGCGCTGACGACGACGACCCGTCATCCACTCGAGATGAGATCACCCTCGGAGCATAGGTTATTCGTGCGCGGGAGTGCGGTGTGTGGTCACGCTCTTTCGTTCATCCTTCGCTCATCCCTGACCTGCTCCCAATTCTAGACTGCGGCGACTCGACGATGACATCAGCGCTAGCTCCGTGTCTTGGGATACTTATACGCCCAGCTGCGCATAGGGTGCCTTCAACTTACGCACGCGAAAACGACTCCGAATATGCAATCCACACCTGTCTACAACAACAACGCTCAGGCTCAGCAGCTGCAATCCGGTATCAAAAGTGTGTCTGAGGCTGCGTTTCGGCCGCTTTGAGTGCTGACACGACCACAGCCCAAGCCCGATTCGATAACTCGGGAACCGCTCAAGACCTTCAGGGAACCGAGAAACGCGCCCCGCAGACGGACAACTTGGGCAGCAACCAGGGTGCTCGTGCGTACCGTCACTCCCGGTCTTTGCCTACTTACTCAGTAACGCCCAGCCCACACCCAAACGCAAGCTGCACGATTCGACAACAGCACCGGCGACATGCAAGGCTCGCAACGCTTCCAGGACCGATTCGGTGGGTCCACCACCGGCACTGGCACTGGCGACGTCTCCCGGAACGACCACGGGAACAACTTCTCCACATCGGCGACAGGCGTAGGTCAGGCGCAGCAGAACCAGTTTGATGGATCCTCCTCAGGCTTCACCGGCGCGGAATCACGGCGGCCCGATCACAACGACTTCAACGACAATTCAGGCGCCGGTCGATCGGATGGGTCCGCTGGGGTTGTTGGGCCCGCAGGTACCGGGGATCTGCGCCAGCACGACAATTCCGGCGCTGGCGGCGGTTTAGGGTTCACTTCAGGCGCACAGTCCGGCATGGCGGCGCATCCCACGGCGATGCACTTCGGCCCTGGGCCTGTCGACATCACTCGTAACCGCGAGACCGCGAACGCGCGTGCACTTGACGGGCAGCAGCAGCAGCAGCAGACGGGCACCGGGGCTGGGCTCCAGCACCATCACCACCTCCACCAACACGAAGGGGCTGTGGACTTGAGTCACTCGGACGCCGGCCAGATGACTGGTCAGCGCTACGACCCAAGTGGAGCTGGTCAAACAGGGCTGGGATCTGAGCATAGGCATGAGCATGGAAGTGGGCGTGATTTCGAGGGTCGGGATGAAGGGCGGCTCGACCAGCATCGGAATCAGCACCACGGGGCCGGCGATGCAGTAGCTGCTGTGACCGGGGTTGCTGGCTTGGAGGAGGTGAAGCACAAGCATAACATGCGGCGGGATGTCGAGCACAACAATAACAACAATGATAACTCTGGATTCGACCAAACGCAGTCCACTCGCACACACCCGACAGGCACCGATGCCAGTCGGATGCAAGTTGGACAGGGCGACGGTGCTCCGTTCACAGATCGCTCTGGCGCTGGCTCGAACGATCACCGCACCACCGCTACTGGCGCCGTTAAGCCGACGCACCACGACATCCACGGCGATCGACCGGAGGCTGACCACAGCTCATCTGCCGGTCGTGAAGACCGCCACCATCATCTCGGTGCTGGTGCCGCTACTGGCGCAGGTGCTGCCGGTGTTGGCGCTGGCGCAGCTGCCTTGGCCGGCCATGGGACCGATACGACTCGTTCCGGTGCTGGGACTGGGACTGGCTTCGGCAGCGGCACTGGGGCTGGGGCTGGTCGTGATGACCATCATCATGTTCCTGGTGCTTTCGGTGCAGGCCACACTGGAGACGCGACGTCGACTCACGATCATTCCACTGCACCTGGTGTCGGATCCACCGGCACGCACGATCGTACCACCGGCACGGGCATGGGATCTACCAACAATGCCGGGACTGGCACAACAACTGGTGCAACTGGATACGATGCTGGAACGGGCCTAACTGGCAGCGCAACTAATACCACCAAGTCCGGCACCTCGCTAGGCGACAAAATCATCGGTAAGATGACCTTTGTTCCCCAACGCACTTCCTCGTCTAATCTCTCAATTCCTTCTTCCTACTCCCAGGCGTTGCAGAGAAGATCGCGGGCAAGCTCGCTTCCAACCCTAGTCTCCAAGAACGTGGTCAGGAGCGTAAGGTGCGTCTCCCTCTGTTTCAGTTACATCCGCAGGCATTAATACTGTGTTTATCTCAGGGTGAATTAGATCCCAGCACCGGCCGTTACCACTAAACAGCATTTGCGGACAATCGAATGTAAAACATAATGTACATTATCTGATCAATCTGTACTAGTACACACATGGATCTAGTTCCCATCACGGCGGAATTCCTTCGTCTGCCATTCGAGATCTCATCGTCGGAGCCGTACCCATTGAGCACATGCAAAGATTCATAAGTTCCTAATCAGTCAGTCGGTCGATCGATATCCAGTCGATCAACAACTCGCTCTCTTATGCACCCTCGTTGGTGGAGTTACAGTCTTCGATTTCTCGGAACTGCCTCCACATGCATTAACTTCGTTAGCTCGCAACCTATGACTGGGTTCAGGGGGTCCTCGACGAGGGGGCTGGCGGCGTCTGTTTCCGAAATCTTCGTCTGTGGTCATTCTCGTGTCTCTATAGATCTCCGGTCTCCCGGAAAACTATGCTGAGACAACAGTTGTCCCACTACACTTCGGATGTTCGGAATATTATTCTATCTTTGAGATGTAATCCGGATCCGAGATTGCCTCAGTTACGGGTGATCCCATCACAAATGACGTCACTTCTTGCACTTATGGATTTCCGCAGGCTGTGGAAACCCAAAATTTATCCCTGCCCGAGCGGATTTTTCTCTCCGAGTTACACAGAGCCCTCAGTCATCTCACCCGTCGATGCACTGCTCGCTGTGTGCTCTCACCATCGAAACAGAGATGACGTCACGAACCTATGCGTGTCATCCGGATTACCCATTAGCGGGTGCCCAAAATCTGAGTCATGACTCACCAACCCTGCTTCAATCGCGCAGTAAGCAATCGTGCAATCGTGGTCTTCGCAGTCAGCACAGCCCGAAATATTTCCAATCGCCGCACATCTTATAATACCCATCGTTCGACAAGATGACTCGTAACTGCCACCACATTCGACGACGCCCACCGTAAATCGCTATGACCGCCAGCTCCGAATACGACTATTCCTCCTGGTCGCCGGCGTCTTCGTCATCATCTTCCTCAAGCTCGCCCGTCCACCCCGCATCTCTTGTGGACCCGGAAATGCACTCGTCTGCCATGCTACAGCTTATCGATGCTCAAGTGTCGAAAGCCTTCGTCGGTGCGTGTCTTCTCGCTAAAGTCGGCCTTGTCTCCTTTCTGACTCGCACACGCAGAATACATCGCGCAATTCGTGACGGACGTCGTCTCCTTCTCTCTAACCCGCGACCACCCAAAACACATCGAGCCCACTCGCGGCCGAGCACCCCGCCGCGCCACGCGCCTCGCCGACTTCATATCCCTCATCGTCACGCGCGCCGAAGCAGAGCCAGCAACGCTGCTAGTCGCGCTCGTCTACCTCGCGCGCTCGCGCGCACACCTCTCGATCTCGTCTCCGCACGGTGCGGCCGAGCGCCTGTTCCTCGGCGCGCTGATGACCGCGAGCAAGTACACGCAGGACAGTACGCCGCGGAACGAGCACTGGGCGCTGGTCAGCGGCGTGTTCGGCACGGCTGACATGGGGATGATCGAGCGCGAGTTTCTTGCAGTGCTCGATTGGGAGCTGGGCGTGAGCGAAGCAGAGGTGGTGGTGCATTGGGCCGGGATCGTCGGTGGCGAGCTGTCGGATGTCGAGGAGGAGGAGAGGCATGCTTCGTCTCGGGGACACGGCTACCACGAGCGGTTGCGTCTACGTCACACCCACCATCGCCACCACTACCGGCAGCGGTCGGTGCCTAGGCTCGAACCGTCCAGTCCAGGCAGCAGTTGCGCCAGCCTTTCGCCAAGGACGCCTGCGCACTCCCCATCTCGCCCCGCTCCGGCCGTCCACCAGAAGCATGTCGCCATCCAGCCGTCCAGGCCAATCCAGGTCGTGTGATCAGGCGCTTCTAAGATCGTCTTCCACACCTCTACTCCGTCTTCGTTGACGATGCCATCGATAAACATCCGATGCACCACCGCGTTCCTCGCTGTTCAGCATGCTAGAACCAGTCGCTACGGTCACTTCGCCCCGCATTAGATATTCTGCCTCGGGGTGAGTAATGTATCAAGTAATGTGTCGACTCAGGTTCACCGCCACCCAAATCTATATCTACGCACCTGCTAGTCACTAGTATTGTATAAACCGCAGCGATCACAGTGCACCCTTATGAGGGGCTCGTTCTGCTGTACACTGCATCGCTTTCTCAATTGAATTATCGGTCCAATATTTGCAAGAGTGCTGTAACCCAAAGGAATCAGCTTGGAAAACATCTTCCGCAAATCTGGCGGTGTGTGAGCTGATAATTATCCACGGTCCCCGACTCTAAACACATCGAGGGGTTCCCTGGGCCGATTCTCTTGAACTTCATCTGGATCCTTTGTTAGAGACATGTAAATCTCGTGCTATCACCTGTCCGAGTCTCGCTGCTAGTCCCGGCGCTTAAGATTCTACCTCAGACCCCTATCCCAGAATAGGAATTTTCGCACATCATCATGTCACGCCAACCCGCCGCTTGATGGCAGCGCTCACACTCTACATATTCGAAGTTCTTCTCCTCCCGCCCTCAAGGTTTCAGGGCCCAGCATTGACACGTCACTGACCTGACCGTCGACAATTGAGTGTCATAGCGACTGACGTGTCACACAATATTTTTTTTATCACGGGTGTAGTACATATGTACCTTGATGGGTATCTGGGGCCAGTTACAAGCGTCCTTGCCAAGGAATGGATGGAGCCCGTTCAGTCTGAGGCTATCCCCAACCTGGTCATAAGCGGTGCTGATGTTCTGTAAACTGCTTGGAGTGAACATCAACCCTTCGAGGGCCTCAGTTCAGATCTGGAAATGAGATAGATGACGTTTCCCGGATGGAAAACAAAGACTAGAGGACCGGCGTTATATTGTCGATCGCCGAGTCAAGTCCATATACCAGCTGGAATTCCGGTTTTATCAAATGAAATCCGATTCGCGGGGGTCGTGGAGGACATTTGCCAAAATCAAGGCACTTCGGTTGGTTTGATGCCTGGTTAGAAGACTGAGAAACGAGGAATGTAACTCTTGGAAAGAGCAAAATCGGAGAATAAATTGTTTCGCGCAGCGAGAATACAAGAATGTGGCAGTTGCCGTTACACTGTCATGAGAAAGATCCACACTCTTCGCCTCAAGTCAGAGATCAAGCCAGTCCCTCCACCGCCCGGTAGAAATCCATTGCATCCTCTCCGACAGTTAGAACGACCTGTCTTTTGCGGCCTTGGGCATCCACTGCAGTCTCCAGTCCCGGCAAATACTGTCCGAACAGTCTCTGCACATCCTTGAACACCCGTTCTGCAGACTTGGCGGCGTGGGAATGTGTCGCAGATGCATTGACGACGAGTTCCAACCTCGCAAGTGCATTGAACAATGGCGTCGCAAGTAAGGCAACCATGTGCTCGAGTGAATCGAACTGATTCGGAAAGTCATCTCGGTGTAGGATGAACGCATCGAGAACGAGTTCGCAGATGGATGCATGCGACTGGACCACGATTTGTTCAAGCAGGTTCACGAGGGACGCAACACAGGATATTGATTCGCACTGTGTGTCCCCTGTGAGGCGCAGCGGAAAACACAGGCGTAGGGAGCGAAGATTCGAAATGGGAGCGTAGTCCACCTCCAAAAAAAGTTCGTATTCTGCGAGACACCAATCAGTGTTCAATGGCGTGAGGAAAATCCGCGGGTAACTCACGGAATGAGCCTTCGGGGTCACGGATCTCGAGCTCCTCCAGCCTACTCCCTTGGGCGTTCAGATAGCGACTGGCACCTGTAACATGTGCATAGCCGTCGACATATCTGGAAAACCGATTTTTCCAGATGAGCTTGCGGGTTGAAACATTCACCAGCAGATTGCCCACGAAGACAATGTGCACATACGGTTCCAGACAGTCCAATTGGAGCGGCGGCAAGGAGAGACTCTCCACCCAGTTCTCCTCGCTCAACCGGAATGAGATCTCGGAGAAGTGGAGGTGGCGAAGCTGGGGCAAGGCGGACAGCAGCCTTTTTAGTGTGTGCATGGATTCGAATCTCGTGCTTACGAGCTCCAGACGTCTCAGCGTGGGAGGGAGGTTCGGGCAGTGCTCGGGGATAGTGCACATGAGACTCAGAGATCGAAGTGCGCGGAAGCTCTGCCAGCACTGGGACAGGATTGTGAATCCCGTCAACCCATTCTGCGCCGCCAGCGTCGTGCGTTCAGGAGCTCCATACCCACCGCTCAGAGAGATGAGGTTCACATCGAGCGAGCCGAGTGTAGAGAATAGCGTGCCCTTCTGCTGTCCAGCGAGATGGAACAGCTCGAGGACGTCGTCATAGGTGTGGCGTGGCTGGATGTGAACGGTGAACCAGCGGCGTGAGAAGTTGAGCCAGCTACGGGAGACCAGAGTGCAGGTCGAAAGAGCGCGGTCGTCGTCCGCCAGGTGAGAGAGGATCTTTTCGACGAGTTCGAGTGGGATGTCGAGGGTGCAGCACATGAGAGGCAAAAAGCAAGTTGGCGGCGATTTGGGTGACCCGGTCGGTCACCGGTATCACGTTCTCATAGTTTTTGGCGCAGGCCGATTTGGCGTAACCGAGAAGATCCGCGCCTCGAGATCCACCGTCATGTGCAAACAGACTGTCCACCCCCACAACGCATGATTTTTTTAATACCAGGCGGCGTAGTAATCGGATATTATGTGAGTCATCAGGATGACCATGCATTAATTGTCAATGTAACACACCTGGCTGGCTCGTGTGTTGCACGATTAAACCAGTCTCGTCGAATTCCGTTTATCCATCCGCGGAACATCATTCGAAAGGCCTCAAACAACATTCGAACACTCTCAATTGTACATCTCAACGGGGGTGAATGCCAGCAAAGTATAAGATCTTTCGTAACTCAGGGAACGCCTGGCCGCCGAACAGCATCGGAATAGAAGACTTGAGACCGTGAACATTAAACGTCTTTCCACTCGACTCCGTGACCTCGCAGGTTTTGGAACGGTCAGACACGTGTGTATGGGAGATTGATCTTCCCCAAGCTGCGCGAGAATTGCGGCAATGGCGCTTGAGACGGGATCCGGGCCTGGGAGACTGGGTGGATGAGTTTGAGATTCGCAACCCTGCTGAGAGCAGCATGGCTGAACACCTCACAGGTGGCGCCTCCCCACAGCCGACCCAAAGAAAGATCAAGTCAGCGGCATTTGCTGTGGGAACATCCGACTGCCAAGCAAGCCGCCCAAAATCAGGTCAGGGCTCTGTGATGGGTTGATCTGCTTCGATTCGACTTCCTTGTGCTTTTTATGACTCGCCACAGGAGGTTCACAGTGCAATACGAACCCCAAAACTCCAGCTCCCTCCGGAATCAATTCGTTCCCAAATCAGTGGACTCTCGATACACGCCAAGCCATCACTCTGAGAATCACCAGCCGACAGCGGGAAGGTACTTGCTCTGATTCTCAGCCCGGGCATCCAGACTACATTCGGGCCTCAGAAGCCATGTCGACTAGTAAAGAGCGCATTGCATGTCCCGCAACGTGATTCCCGAGGCTTTAAGGAAAGGGTTTTTCGATGCCCTCGTTTGTGGGCCATATGATCCTCGACATTCGCATGTGTATTCTCTGATCTCGTTACCTATGCCTACACCGCAGTAGTCTGGACCGAGCTTGAATGCTCACCCGATGACCTGCCTCCCCGTCGGTCCCAAAAAACGCCATAAACTCAGCAGTGCCAGGTGTGGATGATCGGGACATGGAAAGACCTGGGTTCAAACAGAAAGTGATCCTCGTCCACAGGATGTGGGAGAGAGGTCAGATGTCGCACCAACATGAATGAAAAGGAAAAATTGGGCGGCAAGCCTGGGTAACGGGATATCATCGCCGTGTCCTTTTTTCGAGATCAACGCTCATTGATCGTAAGGACCTGCATACCTAGTGGTCAACTGTCACGCGCGAATGCAAATTCTCAATCCTGAGCTCGTGGTCGTAGATACCAGAAAGTCCATCAAGTACCATAATTACGGTAAGTTTATCATCTAAATGACCTTGATGAATCTGCATCAAATCTCAACCGAGACCTCTGTGTGCTCGCCGTCCTGAGATATCCAGTTCAATCCGGCTCAGTATCCACGGAATGCCAC